AAATGAGTGACAACAAAGCAGCCAAGAGTCCTGATTTAATTAAGATTCAGAGTCCTGACGATGAATATAAAAAGAAACTAAACAGAATTAAATCAAAAATATGCTATTACAAAAAGAAGTCGCAATGCGGTGGGGTTGATGCCCATAAAACTAAAGTAATTGAAAACGATAAAGAGAAGAAGGAAATAATTGAAAAGTTAGAAACTTACCGTTCAATCCTTAAACTGAGTGAAGCAAAAATAAAAGAATTTAATAGAATAAATAAATTGATTGGAAGAGATGAATTTAATAAAGATGAATTTTTAAACTCAATCCAAATTTAATTTTTATTCCTCTTCGACAACGTCTCGAATAACTGAAGGTGTCACTATGTCACCATGTGTCACTCGGTTAATTAACTTCTCTGAAAAAATGAGACAACATGACATTTAGACAACAACACAGGAGGAAGGCACTTATGAATGAATTCAAAGGTATTTGCATACATCCTGACCTCGTTCATTTTGTTGCTGAATTCAGCAAAAATAATGTTTAGGGTAGATGGTTTCAGGTTATTCAATAATTAATTATTTTTGAAGAACTGAAGGTGTCACTATGTCACCATGTGTCACTCGGTTAATTAACTTCTCTGAAAAAATGAGACAACATGACATTTAGACAACAACACAGGAGGAAGGCACTTATGAATGAATTCAAAGGTATTTGCATACATCCTGACCTCGTTCATTTTGTTGCTGAATTCAGCAAAAATAATGTTTAGGGTAGATGGTTTCAGGTTATTCAATAATTAATTATTTTTGAAGAACTGAAGGTGTCACTATGTCACCATGTGTCACTCGGTTAATTAACTTCTCTGAAAAAATGAGACAACATGACATTTAGACAACAACACAGGAGGAAGGCAAAAATAAATTCCAATCATACTTTATAAAGCTTCATTTACAGGTATTTCATCGTCAGTAAATGAATCATCATTATCGTTTGGTTCAACCTGTTTATATAATCCTTTCATTTCTTCTTTCAAAACATAACACCATGTTTGTTTACCATTTATTCTTCTCTGTTTCTTATCACATTTATCCTTAATGCTCATTTGGAAATTCTTGTCTTTCATGTCTGATGGTTTGCAGAATAGAGCATTTTCACACGTCATACCTGCACACAATTCATCATAATGTGTATTTATCCATACATCTAAAGGATTTGTTGATAATTCAATTAAATCTTGTTTGGCTTCAGTCATCGGTATGATTCGTACATTAAATGATGAAAGGTCATATTGCATAAAATACGTCAGCAAATTATCATAAAATTCCTTTGTGCATGAATCCATCAAATTCTTGAAGTAATCCAATTGACCCTTGAATTTACCATTAACTCTTAAAACTACGTATCTTCTGTCTCCAACTTCAATTTTGACAGGGTAAACGTTGTTAGTTACGAAAATGAAATTGGCAACATTCTGAGCTGTTCTTCTGGGTTGATTCTTTTCATTAATTCTAATCTCATTATCCGTTATAATTGATTTCAAAGCGTTGAAGTTTGCGAGTCTGTCTTCACCTACATTCTTGAGTTCATTAAGTACAAGAAACATTTTATTTTCAACTACTGAGTTGAAATTACCCGTTAGCTCACCTATTTCAGTAATGTTTTTACATGAATAACCAGCGAGGAGTTCAGAAATAATGTCTGTAAATCTGTTTTTACCTGTTCCCTGAAGTCCTTTCAAAATAATTGCTGTTTCATTCTTGATTCCAGGATGTTGAATCATTGATGCAATCCAGCCGAGTAGGTATTTATACACTTCATCGTTATTATCACAAATGGCTTCTTTAATGAAATTCATAAACATCTCAATTTTTGAGTAATCAAGCTTTTCGAGAATGTTGTATTTATAACCCTGAAACGTTGAGAAAACATCTGGAGAATCAGATTTAAAGCAAACACCCTTAACGGTTAATGAAGACAATTGATTTAGTAGTACGTCCCATGCTGTTATTGTTTTACCTTCTTCTTTAAATAATTTAATCATTTTAAGTGACTCTTTCATGTTTGATTGAAGAACGAATGATATTTGATTCATTTTGTCGTGTATGTTGTAATCTTTCTGAATGAAATATTTATTTCCATAATCTACAAAACGGATTACACGTGATAAATCCTCAATTACTTCAGAACTGTTTTTATACTGATGATTTTCAGCCCTGCGTCTAATATCTGTTATCAAAAACGAGTCATCAAGTTTTATATCAAATGTTATTTTTGGCTTACGTAATAAAGGTAAAACATATTCATCATAATATTCCTTTTGATAAAGTTTTAGAATCTTCACTAAAACAAATGGAGAAGTCATTAAATGTGCATATCTACTACGTGCTTTTTCAAAATTACTTTTTGCATTTTCTGTTAAGCTGCAGAAGTTATAAACGCTGTCATATGCTTCATTAATTAAATGATTAGGTAACGAATTAATAGCTTGAAACAGTGTGAACAATGTTATTTCTTTTTCTAAATTCATGTTTCCACCGTCATTATGTACTTCAAAATCACTGATGCCATCAACTATGCTCTGGGCAAGTTTATCGTCAATGTTTACACCTTTGTTTTCATTCATTATACTCTTTATTTCTTCGTTCTTTTGTTCAACTCTTACCTTAATATTCAAATCATTTAATATATCATTCATTGTTCTGGTTAATGTTGAATCGTAACTTCCACGAATGAATGAGTATGTATTGATTGGTTCTGATGCATTCTTGCGAACTCTTGAATCAGCCATAACCACTAAAGAACGCTTTGAATCATCCATAGAAGTCATGATATCGATATCATAATCATTGCAGGAATAACATTTAATCATTCTGTTCGAAACTGAATAGAAGAAATTAGTGTTGCAATAAATGTGAAGACCTCCTGAAGCGGTTTTAACGATAACATCTTTATCCGAAAGTTTTGATAAAATATCTTTTCTAACTGTTTCTTTAAGTTCATCATTGTATGATTTATTGATATCAACATCTATAATCGTTAAATTTGAAATTTTATTTACTAATAAAGCCATACCAGTTTTCCTTCCTCTTCCTCCATCATGTTTGAGGTAGTTATGTAAATCAATCTTGTTTTCACCAATTCTTTCGTTGAGGGTTTTAGTTTCTGCCACAACTAATTCCTCAGCTAATGAATCAATAACTTGTTCATCAGAAACGATAAAGTTGCTGTTGTTGTTTGTTGCTGTCATTTATATAGGAATAAAAAAACTAACTTTATTTTTGGACTGCATCAAATTTCCTGCTGTGTTGTCTAAATGTCATGTTGTCTCATTTTTTCAGAGAAGTTAATTAACCGAGTGACACATGGTGACATAGTGACACCTTCAGTTCTTCAAAAATAATTAATTATTGAATAACCGGAAACCATTAACGTAAACATTTATTTTTGTCTGATTTACACTCATTACGATGAAGTCATGACAAATCATTTCCTGCTGTGTTGTCTAAATGTCATGTTGTCTCATTTTTTCAGAGAAGTTAATTAACCGAGTGACACATGGTGACATAGTGACACCTTCAGTTCTTCAAAAATAATTAATTATTGAATAACCGGAAACCATTAACGTAAACATTTATTTTTGGGTCATTTATGATAAAAATAAATGGTTCATTTACTCACAATATTTTTGTACAAAACGACCCCAAACTTTTAACTTCTTTTCTGCAGTTTCTAATGCTATCTTAGCGAGTTCATATTCTCTAAATTCTCTCTTTAAATCTTCTTGTTCCCATTGGTCTAGTTCGTATGGAGAATCTCTACAACCATAACATATCTCACGTTCGTGTTCTAATTGTTTTTCACACATTTTTCTAACTTCTTCTTCAAACAAATGTTTAGCATTCTCTACTGTATCTTCGAGTTCTTCTTCATCTAATTTCTCATGAACTTTCTTGTCTATGGAGTCCATAATATCTTTGACATAAAATGCATACTTTACAGAGCACCATTCAGCAACAAAATGAACGAGGTCAGGATGTATGTAAATACCTTTGAATTCATTTATAACACCCTTAGTAAGCTCATAAAATGCTTGTTTTGAGGTTGAGCCACTTTTGGCTCGACCGTATTCATTCATCCAAAACTCAATAATTTCCTGCATTTTAGTACTATTGAGAAATCTGTTTAAATGGTTTAACCTTCCCACTTCTCTTGCCATCTTTGTTGCATTAATGTAACCATCCTTGTCTCTACGTAAGACTTCAATACCATTATAAGTGCCTTTTGTGAATGTTTCACCATTAGATTTGTTCGTGAACGTCTGTGCTTCGACTGACATTTCTGTTCTTACATACAAAATAAAAAAATAAAAATAAATAAAGTTGAGGTGAAGAGGTGAGATCTCGCCTGTTTTTTATGATAGTAGTGAAATAAAATTTTGTTATTAGTTATTTTATCATCATTTTATTAAGTTCATCTTTAGTTAATAATTTGAATGGATTCACTAATGTTCCACCTTGAGTCACAACACCTGCCCCGGCTAATTGTGAAGAACCTGGGATAAGTACTCCATGAAATGATTTCATTGGTATCATTAATTTAGAAATAGTTGGCTTAATTAATTTTGTCATTTATACTAAAATAAAAATTTAAATTATGCCGTTCGCTCTTTTGGAGCTCAGGACTTTCAGTCCGTTCTAAAGTTTATTTCACAAACATTGAGCGTTCATTGAACTCTATACCATGCGAATACAGTCATAAATGGTGGCATGTATTCTTTACTTTGTCCCGTTGTTTGTGTATATTCTGAAACGAAATGTGTATGGTTTCCTTCTCCCTGAGTGTCACTCCAGTAACAATTTATAGCAAACTTAACGTCATCTTTAACATCATATCCTTTACCTTTTGTCATTCCTGACCAATCCCAATATCTATGCTTATGCCAACCCGCTTGAGATGTACTTAAATCTATGTAGTGACTGTGTGCAGGTAAATTTTCACCTGAAATCGTTTTACTTCCCCCTTGAGTTTGCACAATACAAAAACCTGTCAACTATTTGTTCCCACGCACCAACACCAAACATTACTTGAGGACCTCTTGCATCCATAGATGTATAAATAGAACCTACTGGGTTCATTAAATCAAAGATATGAGATATTATAGGATTGTCTCTTTTGAACTTAAAATATAGTGCAACTATTTCAGGTTTCTTCTGGTTTGTGTTAGAATATTTTTTATAATATAATCTTATGTTTTCAAGGTAGGTAAAATCTTGACTATAATATTTATTTCTGTCATCTGTATAATAATATACTATTCTCGTTTTTTCTATTGCATTATATCTTTTATATCTATAATAATCTAAATATAATGTTAGCTTTTGTTCATCTACATGTGGTGTTCTGTCGTCATCTCCATAGTCATAATAATATGGTGCTGGAGCTGGGTCAGGCAATGTCATATCTGCCATTTCATAAACTCTTAAATATTTCTTTTGTTCGTCTCCATATAAGTTTAAGTAGCAGTTGTTGTCTAATGGAACTTTAACTTGTGTACCATCATTCTTTTTATAGCTTACATACATTTCATTGTTATTTTTCGGAATGAGTTTACACCGTGCACCATTTTTTAAGGAGTGTACAAACTGCCATCTAAAATATTTATTTTCTTCATTGACAGAAAAGTCACCAACAATAGTTTCAATATTTTTTGTTGTTCCTATCAAACTTTGGTATATTTCGTTAACATATGTTTTATCTGCCTTCTTCTCTAACTCATCGTTAACATATGTTTTATCTGCTTTAAGGTCTAAACATCCTGAAACCCATTTTGTATCAGCTTTAACTTTAAAAGTCTTCATTGTCCATTCATGATACCATTCAACATTTTCTTTAATTTCATTATCTTTTTCATCAACATAAACCAAATTTGCTTTCTTCATTAATTCAGTATTAACGTATTCCTTATCAGCTTTCTTCATTAATTCAGTATTAACGTATTCCTTATCAGCTTTCTTCATTAACTCACTATCCACATATTCCTTATCTGCTTTCTTCATTAATTCAGTATTAACGTATTCCTTATCAGCTTTCTTCATTAACTCACCATCCACATATTCCTTATCTGCTTTCTTCATTAATTCAGTATTAACGTATTCCTTATCAGCTTTCTTCATTAACTCACCATCCACATATTCCTTATCTGCTTTCTTCATTATGTCATTTAGGAAACCTTCTATGAATTCCTCATTTAAATTAAATCTTCCAATCTTCAAAACTTTAGGAAACGCATTTAATGCGTAATATCTCTGTTCTTCTGGTGGAATTGATGTTATATCATCCGTTATACCTTTAATTTTAGAATTCATAAATAAAATTTCTTTTATATTTGATATCACTGCACCACCTTTGCAAACGAATTCGAAATGTTCATTTTTCAATACTATCTCCAAATCTCCATATTTCAACCTTTGCGTTTGTTCTGCCGTCTTCGAATTATATGCATATATGGCGTATGTAATGGTCTGAAGGACCTGGGTGCTTTGCGCCTTAAGTTGTTGTGGTTGCTGTTGTTTAATCATTTATTATGATTTAAAAATAAATATTTAATCTGTTATCTCATCAGCTATTTTCTCTATTTGAAATTGCCATAATATTTCATTCATGAATTCTAAATCACAATCAAATAGGTCAGTTATTCTAAATTTAATATTTGATAAATCTTTTGAATGAAGAATAAATGAATTCCCAGATAATTGAAATGGATATGATAAAGAAAATGTGTTTAAGTTGATGGATAAAATGTTTTGTATTGATGGGTAAGAGTTAGGGTCTAATGTTTGATGTGAAAATCTCATTGGGGTATTAACTTTATCACATTTGATTAAAATGAAATTGGAACCAGTGTCAGAATACAAAACATCCCCAACATCTTTTTCAAAATTTAATATCCCCAACAATGAACGAAGATGAGGAGTACAAAATTTAATTTTCAGCGGAAATTTAATAAGGTTATTTATTTCATCAAGTTCAAAAAGTTTATCAGGTTTTGATTTAAAATTTTCTTCATACCATACGATAAATGATTCATTTAAATAACTTAAAATCATGTTAATATCCCATTTCGCTATCACATTATTTATATACATATCATACGTTTTTTCATGGTCATCTTTAATAAATGATATATAATCTGAAGGGTCTAAAAGAATGGGATTAAATTTACCACTCACAGAAACGAGAGTAACATTATAAATTCCGCTAACTGTTAAATTTAATTCACAGTTATTATTCGAAATAATATTGATAATTGACATTTTTATTACGATTAAAAATATGGTAAAGCGTTATTTTCCAGTGATAAATAAAACTAGAATAAGATTACCTCAAGAATTCATAAATTCAACGAATAAGAAATTCATTCATGTTATAAATTTTAGTGTTTTCAGAAAATATGAGTCAATGTCATATTCATCAACAGGTTTATTTTCCCTTCATTCAAATTTAGTTCAATCAAACCCATATAATGACCATTTTCATAAGATTTCAGATGGTATTAAAAATGTAATTGATAGATTAAAATATGAACAGATTGACAATATCGAATTTTTGGAATTTTGGTTTAAATATCCCGATGGAAAAAAGATTGAAGTTAAAGATAAAGCTGATACTATAACAAAAACAATTACAATGACCGATCCGGATAGTGGGGAACAAAAAGAAATAAAACAAACGATAGAAACTGGTGAAAGGTCCAATTATTATTGATTATGATTCAAAGGATTATTATTCGATAATGTTAATGCTTGAATATTAAATAGCCTTAACAAAGAATTTTTTCAAGTGATATTTTATATTCATCAACTATTTTATTATTAAAAATCATATATATGTTAAATGAAGTTCAGTTGTTGTTCCGTTCTTTGATATCTTAATTGTGCTAATATCCTTTATAGGATTTATTTTTGCAACTGTTCCACAGCATGAAACCTCATCATCTATGAAAAATTGAATCTTAACGTCTGAATCTTGAATTCACAAAGAATGGCGATAATGTGAATTAATGATTCATAAGGTAAAATAATAAACCGGATTGGTCAATTAAATTTATTATTGAATCATAATTATTAATTATTATATCACGGTAAATTTTCATTAATTCAGAATTAATGTCTATTTTATATGGTTCTCGATGTTTGATGAAAGAGGGGGGTATGTTGATAAGTGGGAATTTCAACAGGTTCTTTACCGGGTTCAGATAAAATGATTGGGTCTCCATTCTCATGGTTTTCTTCATTCTCCTCATTCTTCGGTAAGTCACGAGTTAATAAATTTGGTTGAGTTGCTGACCTTGTTAATTCGGGGCTAACATTAACTTTAACATTTTGAATAATTCGTGATTTATCATCATTTACGTTATAACCAACCGTAATCTCTGCTTTTGCGTTAGTGTTCTTTTGACTAGTGAAACGTCTTTCTCATTTATATTCGAATAAAAAAATATATTTAAACTTTATTTTGCTGGAAGTTTTTGAATCTATTTCCCTGTATTTGTTCTTGAAGTTGATTTTTAGCTGGTTCATTGTAATTAATAGACCTAATATATTCATTAATTGCATTCTTATAATCATCTGATTTCTCAAATTTTCTTTTATCTGATTCCTTAACTAAATCATAAGTTAAACCTCGTTGCTGATATAATGGTTTTTAATTAAATCTTTGAATGCTTGAGATTAAAGCACCTGATGCAATTCTTGCTACTATAATTGGTTGGAATTGCTGTTTAAGTTCATCTTTAACATTTGCGAAAAAACTGGATCGAATAAAGCAACTTTAAAGAATTTCTTAGCTGAATTTCAGGTCTAATATTTGTATATTGACCATCAAACTGTGTTAGAATATCGTGGTAATCCATCCGGTCCCTCTTCAATAGCATTTAATTCTTCATTGAAATAAGAATATGGATTATAACGGTATGAATTAATTGGACCATTTTCACCTTCTCCAATGTATTGTTTAACAGCTTTTCCATTTTCATCAAATTGCATAGGATAACGTTCATTATATGCTTTACGTTTAGGATAATCAGTATAGTTAATTTATAACCATTTATGACTTTAATATTACCTTGACCATCAGTAACGAAAACTTCATTTATACCATCAGGTTTTCCATTTGGACCCGTAATGTCTGCTTCGTGTGCTTCCCAATTTGGACCTTGACGTTTGGCATATGCTTGAGCTTCTGGTTAATGTTAAAACGTTTCTCATTTGTTTAACATCTTTTGAAGACCAACAACAATATGAACTAATTCTTTCATTCCATCAGGAACTTTCATAGTTCTATTATATGCACCCCTTTTGTTTGTTCCCTTGTTTTAATGGAACCTGTAGAAGATTTTGCTATTTCTGTCATGTTTAATTATAAATAAAAAATAAAAATTAATTATAAAAGTTAATCAAATTTAACACCTCCTTTATTTAAATCAACTATTATTTTTCCATGTTCACCTAATTGCTGATATTGTGTGTAAAGTTCATTAATGCTCATTGGTAAATTCACTTGATAAAGCATAACGTTCAACTGTTGACGACTAAACCCACTGAAAATGAAAAGGGTTGATAGATTTGATTTAATGTTTGTTGCTTAATGCTTTGAAATATTGAACAGCCATAAAGAATGAACACTGAATGTGTCGACATTGAGTTAATAACTGATTAAAATATGATTTCTCATTTGTTATTAGTTTTGATTTCACTGCATCATCTAGAAAAATGAGTGGATGCAAAAATTCTCTATCAAAATTTGAAATAGAAAGTGTTTCAAATAATTCATCCCGTTGTTTATCAATAATTTTATCCTCTAATCCTTGCTTCTTGATTGTATTATATAATTCTTTATACATTAAAAAGTTTTTAAATAATCTTCTGCTTCTTCTTGTGATAAATAAATAATTGGAATTTTGATTAAATGCTTTAAAGATTCAAATGTATCATCTGAAGGTGAACCTGAACGGTTGATATAAATTAACACATGTGAATAGGGGGAAGTGTTAGCAATAATGATAATTTGTTTTAATATCGTTAATGTTTTACCTTTATTTGTTTACCAATTGCTGCAGTGATTGAATTTAAGTAACATTCAGAATATGGAATTTTCATTAATTTTTCCTTAGATAGAGCATTTCTATTATCACTCAATGCTTCATTAATCATATCATCTACGTATGTATTATATACTCCTGCTAATTCTTCATAAGGGGTGGATGAATTTAAATCCATTTAATCAAAAATAAATTTATAATTTTAAACATTTCTATTCATCAATATTTCATCATATGAACTTCTATACTGTGGTGGTGTACCTGTTGGATGATATTTCAAACCTTCATCCGGTGTCCATGTCCAATACGTAGTCCTAGTAAACCAAACCTGAGGAGGATTTGTCACCTTTGAACAGTAAGTGTCATTTTCACCCTGAATGATTGGATAAGCTTTCACTTGTACTGTAACTTGTGAGTTGAAAGTTTCTAATCCATCAAAGAATATACCCGCTCCATCACGTTGAACTGGAATAGTGCATAAGAATGAAGTTTGGTCTTTCCATGTTCTAGCTAATGGCGTGCCATCATCTGCATTCAGTGGTCTAGTTAATGAGTCCTCGTATTCTTCCGTGCATTCATTCACTCCATCTAAATCAGAAGCTTGAAGCATACGTGTAAAGAATATGTCACCTACTGTGGTCATCGCTTGATCGGGGAAGTTTCTGGAATCTATAGTGACCTGAAGACCTCGAAGCATTGGATTTTCTAAAACTGTTCTTTGCATTGCATTCTTCGGAAATGTTAACACAACATCTGTAACATTATGAAGAGCGTATGAGAAATCTGAGCTAATACCTTCAGGAGTGATGCAACCTCCATTTAGTGAACGAACGTCAATATGTTGAGCTGGAATCATGAATGGATCTTCCTTACTGAATAAACGTGGTATTGCTTTAACTGATTCTTCAATTAAACCATATCCTGGTGTAATGCATTTATCCTCTAAAACTTCCATCTTTGTGCATGAAATAATAACGTCATCAACTGTTGCGTCAGCAGATGTAGCGGCTAAGCTTGTAATTAATTTGGCAGGAAGTCCGATTTGTTGGAATTTGCGATCATATTTATAAACATGATTCATAATCTTTTCATAATTTTCATCAGTTATCTTTTCATAAACGTAATTTTGTAAATCAGCAACTCTTAACGGGTCAACCTGACAAAATACTAAAGTATCCCTGAAAACATAATATTTAAGAATGATTTCACCAAATGATTTAGGATAATCATCGAACGCCTGAAATGCTAACAAATCATTTACCGGAATAATCATATCAAAAGTGACATCAACTTCTTCATTTGCTTTCTTGAAAACTTCTGAAGGGTCAATATATTTACCACATACTGAGTTATCATATTTTTGAACATTATTATATAACGAATGAACAAACTTTTTAACTTTCCTTTCTGATTTTGGTTTATATGTTGCAAATGCAAAAGATTCACGTGCGCAATCCATCTGAAGATAACCGGCATCACCTCTTTCGGTTTCTACTTCTAACTGTTTAAAGCTTTGATTTGATGATTTGTAACCAACGAATAAACGCATGCATTTAAAAGCGGCATCACATGTGAAAGCTTTATTTGAAACTAGAGTTGCTTTAACTTTGCGTTTAATATATGTGTCACCTAATTGGTTCACATCATGAGCCGGATTTGTAATTCTTAAATGAGTTTGTTTATCATCAAAATATGGAGCATCAGAGTCATAGCATGAACTTTCAAGTTCTCTATAATATCTTCTACCGTCATTCTTTGCGAATATTTCATTTATCTTTTCGAATGAATGAAACACATTTCCATTAATCGGTTTAGTGTTTGGCATCAAATAGTTAGTCGTCATTTATTATTAAATAAAAAATCAAAATTAAAAGATGAAAATGAATTTTTAATTTTAATGAAATAATCAACTATGGCTGCAGGTATATTTAAGAAACTGTGGGATAAAGTAAAAAGAGGAGCACATAAAGTTTGGGAAACATTGAAGAAGGGAGCAAATTGGATATTTAAGAATAAAGAAGCAATTAGTGACGTTGCTGAATCAATAACACCAAAAGCTGCCCCAATAAGAGAAATATTAAATAAAGGAGAAAAAGTTTATCAAAGACTTCAACCGATACTAAGATAAAAATAATATTTATTTATTTTTCCACTATCTACCTCCTATTTTATTAAGTATTCCTTCAGCAATTCCACCAACTGCGTTACCTGCTTGTGCTCCCATCGCTGGATTACCTGCTTTAGTACCTAATACTCCACCTATGATAGTTCCTGCCGTTTTCGCTACTGGTGCCAAAAAGTTTGCTACAGGTTTAATAATCTTTTTATAAACCCAACCTGCAGCTTTCTTAATTCCATCCCATAATTTTTTAAAGAATCCTGCCGCCATTTCTGATTTAATATTAATTAAAAAATATATTTCATCACTTATATTCTAATTTTTATTTAATGATAAATGAAACCGATTTTAAAAATAAATGAAACAGAGGAGGAGGAAATAAATGAAAGTGAAAATGTTCAACAAAAAATAAACATTGTTAAACCAATTACTGAAATAAAAATTTTTTCATCTGTTGAAGAATTTAATGACTATTATGTTAATAATAAAAAATTATTTGAAGAATTGACAACGTGTAAATTGAATAAAATGTTTAAAGTTGATGGATTCAAAATTTCAAAAATAAAAGGAGTGGTTAGTTTGAAATCTATTCCCCAATCAAGAATCACCTCATTAATGAAAATAGATGATTTAACAAAAAGAATAGAAGAGATTGAAGAAAGAATGAATCAAATAATTGATTTCATAAATTCAAATAATCATTAGTTTCTTAAAGTTCTATGTTGATTCTGAGACATGAATTTTTAAAGTTTATTTTTTTATTTTTTATTTCATTATGGTAGTGAATCTTTCATTCATGAAAATAATTATTTCTAATTTCTTTTACTCGTTTATGAGGTCTTTGATTATGACTCCATTGATTCCATTCAGGATTTAACACATGTTTAATTAATCGCGGAATATCTGACATCATCTATATATAGCTTCTTTTATAAAAGATAAAAAATAAATTATTTTAAAATTAATGTTAATTTTTTAATGTGTTTAGTATATAAATATTTTAATGCATCGTCTATATATAGATGCAACAAAAAAAGTCACACAACCCATCCTATCCTACTACTATTTGTTGATCAAAAATGACCTCACAATGTTTGATCATAAGTGAAGTCATCTTCATGGGTATTTAGAAATTCCAAGAGAAATTGCTTATTTCTCGCAGATGTAATATCTGAGAAAATCGAATTTAAATATTCATAGAAACCCAAATCATTCTCCGGTTCGAATAATTCATCTGTTGCTTTTTCTGTTTTTTCTATGAATTTTAATAATTTGATTAATAAATCTTCATCAGGAAGAATTATTGCTGCATTTGTGATAAAATTCCATATTGAGGTAATATGGCAATAATTACATTTATAAAATGTAATTTTATCCAAAATTTTTTGGCAAATTCGCATAATAGCATTAATATTTGAAGCTGAGATTAAACCTGTGATTACTTCTGTAACTTTTGGAAAATCATCGCAATTTAATATCTCTTTATATTGAATTGAGAAATAAAAAAATCAAATGGATTCATTTCTTCAATTTCAAGGAGATTGTAAAAATTGATAGAAGTGTTATTGCAACAAATTGTATTTGCAGCAAAAAATATCATTTGCTCGATTCCATTTTTGGAATAAATTTGCTGGAACAATGTTAAATTAAAACAGTTGCTTAATTTTTCTTCATTGTTTTCATAAAAAAGTAACAAGTTTGCAACTGAAATTTCAAAATTTTGATAATTGCCAGTTATTTCAGTAAATATATATATTTGCTTTTCTTCATCTAAAAATGGCAAATATTGATTTGCAATATTAACTAAAGTTTGGGATAAATTGTTCCAGTTTGATTTTACAATTTGTGAGCACATTATGTAATATGTAAATTTATCCGCTTTGTAGGAATTTAAAATTGTTTGTTGTTCTGTTTCAGTTAAATTACTGAATTTTTCAAGATTAATATTGTGATAAAAAATAGAATCCTTGAAACATTCTGATATCTTTTCAATGTTTAAAACGGATGCTAAAAAATGTAAAAGAACTTCATCAGTCACTGTGATTTTTTTGAAAAATTTATCCCAATTCAAGCATCCAATTGATCTTTCTGTCATTGTACTTATGCATTGATAAAGTTGATTTAATGAATCCGAAGAATAATCATTATGCTTGACTAGTTGAGTTAGTTGATACAGACTGTCGTCAGCCATTTTAAAAAAATGAATAAAATTGTATAGTAAATTATATTTGTGAAATTTGTGACGCTACATTCAATCTAAGACCAATATCTCAAAGAATTCCTCATTTAAGTATTACTTTTCATTGTTTTTTAAAAAATATCTTTGCTTATTTGTTCACTTTTTTGACATTTATTATATGCTTTTTATCATATTTCCGATGATATGAATATATATTCTATATAAGAATGACGCTACATTCAATCTAAGACCAATATCTCAAAGAATTCCTCATTTAAGTATTACTTTTCATTTTTGATTCAATTTTCGAACGGTTTTCGTAAATTTTGCATCATTTCATTTTTTAATGGGAAAATCATCTATATTTAATCAAAAAAGAGCAAACTTTACAGACGAAAATAAAATATTTATCAGGGAACAATCTGATAAATACCAAAAATCAACATCGAGAGATGAAAAAACGAATATAATCAAACAAGTTCTTCAATATTTTAATATTAAATACGCCGAAAATGAATCTAAAGCTGTCAGAAGATATTTTAGTTATATTGCAGTTAAAAATATTCCCGCAGTTACTGGAAAATATCCTGATACAATTGTTCGCAAAGATATGCTTTATTCGCATGATCATACAAATATTATTAATTCAAATAATATTGAACGTTACTACCGTTGCATCGATCATTCTTGTCAAGCACGTTATTTAGTTAAAATTGAGAACAGTTCAGTTTCCGAAGATTTACAAAAGGAACATATACCCGAATGCAGACAATTTAAAAAGTTACAAAATGAAAAAAATGATCTTCATAAATCAATGACTCTGACAGAAATATACAATAAGGCAATGGCAAAATTTTCTGAAGACAACGGCACTTTTCAGCAGATTAAAAAATTTATGACAGAACTTGCTGTTGGTACTGATGAAAACCCATTAATTAAAGATTCATTGGTCAGGGAAGTTTATAATAAGTCCAGAAAATTTTCTGTTGGAGAAAAAATTACAGACGATGAAATTGCTAATTTTTGTTTAATAAATGGCGAGCAGTTTTTCATTGGCCATGATTTTCAAGCAAATTGTGAGACGATGTTTTTTGGTTTTGAGAAGGCAATTCAATTTGCAAAAGAAGCCACAGATTTATTTTGCGATGGAACTTTTAAAATTACACCAAAACATTTTCAAAAAGGACAGATGCTAACAATTATGATTTGTGAACCTTCAACAAATCAATATCTACCACTTTTATTTATATTCATGAAAAACCGCACATTTGAATCTTATAAGAAGGCATTTGAATATATTTTTACTGTCAAGGGTATTCAATTTTCAAAGCTAATTCAAATTCATTGTGATTTTGAAAAGGGAATGATAGAGGCACTTCAACAAATTTTCCCTAAAGTCCGTATAATTGGATGCCTATTTCATTTCAAACAAGCTTTACACAGGAAACTTGTAGCACTTTATACAAAAAATTTCAATACTTTACAAAATTCTTTATTTAAGCTATATTCTATTACTCCATTCATGTCTCATGAAGAATTTGTACTTACAATGCATATAATTAATCAAAATAAAGTTGATTCGATCAAAGATTATATTGATTATTTCAACAAAGTTTGGTTGCCGCACTACAATTTAATATCTCAATATAATAATGCAACTGCAATATTCACTAATGATTGCCTCGAGAGTATGCATTCAGAATTTTCTTCGTTAAAACATCCAAACATTTATGAAGCTATTAAGAAGATATCTCAAATCCAATTAGATAAATATAACGCCATCAAAAATAACCAGAAGATCGAGCGCCATATAAAAACCGTTATCACTGATAGCTACAAAAATTATATTCTTGACTGCTTTCAAAAAGAACTTGAGAAAACAATTTTTTCTATCAAACAATACAACGTAAGTGATCTTTCTTTGGCTCAGAACGAGATTTCTCCATATGGTTCCATAGAATCGAGTTCATTGTTCGAAAATATTCCAGTTCATGATGCAGATATACTCAAATCGATCGATCTAACAGATAAAGATACAATGATCACTAAGTTTATTAATGAAAAAAGAGAAAAAATTATGGCATTATTTAATGAAACATTAAATCATCCAGATTTTAATTCATCCACTCCAATTCAAACTAATTTTGAGCAAGCCGATACAAATCAAGGTTCAGATGCTCCAATTCGCTCCGAAAATTCAAATATTGCAGACTCTACAGATTTAGAACCAGAAAATCAAAACCATCCTTCTACAAATCAAATGTCTAGTAATCTAGAACATAAGCTGGACCTTCTTGATCATATTGAAAAACAATTATCGAAAATGCGCTCGTTATTGGGAATTCTTCCTACTACAAATGCTATTGTTGGGCCGTCAAAACAAGTTTCAGTTAATAGCAAGCAAAATTCTGAAAAAAATAAAAAAAATCTTCCATAACAACAAAATCAAACAATAAAAAACAAAATTCATCCGACAATCCTCCTAAACGTAAAGCTCCTATTTCGGAAAGGATTCTCAGCGATAATAACTTATATTTTCAAGTTCATCGAAAGAGATCGAAAAGCAAACGTTCCACATCTACAGAGAAAAAGAATTGATATATGAAGTCTAATTCCTTTTATAACTACTATATTTTTATTCTTATGACTAAAAAATAATATATTATTTAACAATTTTCATTTTTTTCTTTTAACAATTTCGTTTTATTTCCATTTATTGTTAAATGATTTTTAGCATACACCTTTCTTTGTTCATCTTCTAAATACAATTTATTTTTTCTTAGATATAATTCTATTCATTCAATTCGATCGTCATTTTTCAGTACATGATCGTAATTTTCAATTATTGATCGCGATTTTACTTCAGAATTTGTTCGCAATATTGCTTATCAAAATTATATCTCTATTCTCTCATTTCTGTTTAGTCAATATCATTACACTCCTATTGTCTAATAACATGCTATTAATTTTCTTAAAATTAAAAAAAAATATCAACTTTTAAAAACAGAAACTTAACATCCTTAGGTCAATGGATTTTGATGTGAGATACATTTAATCTGTTTTTCTTTTTTTATTTTAAATAATTGAATATTTATAGTTGTTATGGGTCTTACATCATGTAAAACGAATTTTCTTAAAGTAAATTTACTTTTTCTTCAATCTTTCTTACATATTTATTAAAAAAAATTATCCAAAAAAAGATGTTTTAGAATGAAAAAAAATAGAAAAATCTTCATTTATAGTCTTTCTTGAATGTATACGTTTTGATTTTTTCTTTTTTAAAAAATTCAATTTCTAGAAAAATCGAGAAAAAATCATTTTCTTCTATTTTTTTAGGACGCCATACCCATTGAAATCTCCTCTCAGGACGCCATAAACTATTCAATTATAGTGTAAACTTCTCAAAAATTGAATAGTTTACATCAGGACGCCTTAGGACGCCAAACCTTTACGCGCCCTAAAATTTAGTTTATATCTTTTTCAATATATAGTATTTATGCAACACCATATGGTGTTTTCTCTCCCATATCTTCCATATGTCATTATGAGGGGGCATCCACATTTTGAAATTTTAATGAAGAATTAAATGAATTTTGTTTAATGGTTAATAAAAATATAAATCGTAATTTTAATTGTAATATGAAACTTCCTCACACCTCAAGAGATGCGAAGAACTTTTGACAGGCAAAGTGCAATATTGATAGGTGATTGCACTTTGCCTGTCACATACATCTCGACAGAGGCAACATTCGATATGAAAGTTTCCTCTGTCGAGAAACTTCCTCACACCTCAAGAGATGCGAAGAACTTTTGACAGGCAAAGTGCAATATTGATAGGTGATTGCACTTTGCCTGTCACATACATCTCGACAGAGGCAACATTCGATATGAAAGTTTCCTCTGTCGAGAAACTTCCTCACACCTCAAGAGATGCGAAGAACTTTTGACAGGCAAAGTGCAATATTGATAGGTGATTGCACTTTGCCTGTCACATACATCTCGACAGAGGCAACATTCGATATGAAAGTTTCCTCTGTCGAGAAACTTCCTCACACCTCAAGAGATGCGAAGAACTTTTGACAGGCAAAGTGCAATATTGATAGGTGATTGCACTTTGCCTGTCACATACATCTCGACAGAGGCAACATTCGATATGAAAGTTTCCTCTGTCGAGAAACTTCCTCACACCTCAAGAGATGCGAAGAACTTTTGACAGGCAAAGTGCAATATTGATAGGTGATTGCACTTTGCCTGTCACATACATCTCGACAGAGGCAACATTCGATATGAAAGTTTCCTCTGTCGAGAAACTTCCTCACACCTCAAGAGATGCGAAGAACTTTTGACAGGCAAAGTGCAATATTGATAGGTGATTGCACTTTGCCTGTCACATACATCTCGACAGAGGCAACATTCGATATGAAAGTTTCCTCTGTCGAGAAACTTCCTCACACCTCAAGAGATGCGAAGAACTTTTGACAGGCAAAGTGCAATATTGATAGGTGATTGCACTTTGCCTGTCACATACATCTCGACAGAGGCAACATTCGATATGAAAGTTTCCTCTGTCGAGAAACTTCCTCACACCTCAAGAGATGCGAAGAACTTTTGACAGGCAAAGTGCAATATTGATAGGTGATTGCACTTTGCCTGTCACATACATCTCGACAGAGGCAACATTCGATATGAAAGTTTCCTCTGTCGAGAAACTTCCTCACACCTCAAGAGATGCGAAGAACTTTTGACAGGCAAAGTGCAATATTGATAGGTGATTGCACTTTGCCTGTCACATACATCTCGACAGAGGCAACATTCGATATGAAAGTTTCCTCTGTCGAGAAACTTCCTCACACCTCAAGAGATGCGAAGAACTTTTGACAGGCAAAGTGCAATATTGATAGGTGATTGCACTTTGCCTGTCACATACATCTCGACAGAGGCAACATTCGATATGAAAGTTTCCTCTGTCGAGAAACTTCCTCACACCTCAAGAGATGCGAAGAACTTTTGACAGGCAAAGTGCAATATTGATAGGTGATTGCACTTTGCCTGTCACATACATCTCGACAGAGGCAACATTCGATATGAAAGTTTCCTCTGTCGAGAAACTTCCTCACACCTCAAGAGATGCGAAGAACTTTTGACAGGCAAAGTGCAATATTGATAGGTGATTGCACTTTGCCTGTCACATACATCTCGACAGAGGCAACATTCGATATGAAAGTTTCCTCTGTCGAGAAACTTCCTCACACCTCAAGAGATGCGAAGAACTTTTGACAGGCAAAGTGCAATATTGATAGGTGATTGCACTTTGCCTGTCACATACATCTCGACAGAGGCAACATTCGATATGAAAGTTTCCTCTGTCGAGAAACTTCCTCACACCTCAAGAGATGCGAAGAACTTTTGACAGGCAAAGTGCAATATTGATAGGTGATTGCACTTTGCCTGTCACATACATCTCGACAGAGGCAACATTCGATATGAAAGTTTCCTCTGTCGAGAAACTTCCTCACACCTCAAGAGATGCGAAGAACTTTTGACAGGCAAAGTGCAATATTGATAGGTGATTGCACTTTGCCTGTCACATACATCTCGACAGAGGCAACATTCGATATGAAAGTTTCCTCTGTCGAGAAACTTCCTCACACCTCAAGAGATGCGAAGAACTTTTGACAGGCAAAGTGCAATATTGATAGGTGATTGCACTTTGCCTGTCACATACATCTCGACAGAGGCAACATTCGATATGAAAGTTTCCTCTGTCGAGAAACTTCCTCACACCTCAAGAGATGCGAAGAACTTTTGACAGGCAAAGTGCAATATTGATAGGTGATTGCACTTTGCCTGTCACATACATCTCGACAGAGGCAACATTCGATATGAAAGTTTCCTCTGTCGAGAAACTTCCTCACACCTCAAGAGATGCGAAGAACTTTTGACAGGCAAAGTGCAATATTGATAGGTGATTGCACTTTGCCTGTCACATACATCTCGACAGAGGCAACATTCGATATGAAAGTTTCCTCTGTCGAGAAACTTCCTCACACCTCAAGAGATGCGAAGAACTTTTGACAGGCAAAGTGCAATATTGATAGGTGATTGCACTTTGCCTGTCACATACATCTCGACAGAGGCAACATTCGATATGAAAGTTTCCTCTGTCGAGAAACTTCCTCACACCTCAAGAGATGCGAAGAACTTTTGACAGGCAAAGTGCAATATTGATAGGTGATTGCACTTTGCCTGTCACATACATCTCGACAGAGGCAACATTCGATATGAAAGTTTCCTCTGTCGAGAAACTTCCTCACACCTCAAGAGATGCGAAGAACTTTTGACAGGCAAAGTGCAATATTGATAGGTGATTGCACTTTGCCTGTCACATACATCTCGACAGAGGCAACATTCGATATGAAAGTTTCCTCTGTCGAGAAACTTCCTCACACCTCAAGAGATGCGAAGAACTTTTGACAGGCAAAGTGCAATATTGATAGGTGATTGCACTTTGCCTGTCACATACATCTCGACAGAGGCAACATTCGATATGAAAGTTTCCTCTGTCGAGAAACTTCCTCACACCTCAAGAGATGCGAAGAACTTTTGACAGGCAAAGTGCAATATTGATAGGTGATTGCACTTTGCCTGTCACATACATCTCGACAGAGGCAACATTCGATATGAAAGTTTCCTCTGTCGAGAAACTTCCTCACACCTCAAGAGATGCGAAGAACTTTTGACAGGCAAAGTGCAATATTGATAGGTGATTGCACTTTGCCTGTCACATACATCTCGACAGAGGCAACATTCGATATGAAAGTTTCCTCTGTCGAGAAACTTCCTCACACCTCAAGAGATGCGAAGAACTTTTGACAGGCAAAGTGCAATATTGATAGGTGATTGCACTTTGCCTGTCACATACATCTCGACAGAGGCAACATTCGATATGAAAGTTTCCTCTGTCGAGAAACTTCCTCACACCTCAAGAGATGCGAAGAACTTTTGACAGGCAAAGTGCAATATTGATAGGTGATTGCACTTTGCCTGTCACATACATCTCGACAGAGGCAACATTCGATATGAAAGTTTCCTCTGTCGAGAAACTTCCTCACACCTCAAGAGATGCGAAGAACTTTTGACAGGCAAAGTGCAATATTGATAGGTGATTGCACTTTGCCTGTCACATACATCTCGACAGAGGCAACATTCGATATGAAAGTTTCCTCTGTCGAGAAACTTCCTCACACCTCAAGAGATGCGAAGAACTTTTGACAGGCAAAGTGCAATATTGATAGGTGATTGCACTTTGCCTGTCACATACATCTCGACAGAGGCAACATTCGATATGAAAGTTTCCTCTGTCGAGAAACTTCCTCACACCTCAAGAGATGCGAAGAACTTTTGACAGGCAAAGTGCAATATTGATAGGTGATTGCACTTTGCCTGTCACATACATCTCGACAGAGGCAACATTCGATATGAAAGTTTCCTCTGTCGAGAAACTTCCTCGAAACTCCAATTTTTCTTTTGAACTACAATATCTTAACAATTAGCTCATCAAAACACAACCTATAAACTTTAATTTTTACTTTTGTTTTTTTACAATATATGAACTAAATTTTTTTTTTCAAATTACTCCCACACTGGGAAAAGTATTTTAACTCAGATGTTGCCAGCCTCTTCATCATTGCATTAACAAGTGCTTTGACTCAGAGGTTGCCAGCCTCTTCATCATTGCATTAACAAGTGCTTTGACTCAGAGGTTGCCAGCCTCTTCATCATTGCATTAACAAGTGCTTTGACTCAGAGGTTGCCAGCCTCTTCATCATTGCATTAACAAGTGCTTTGACTCAGAGGTTGCCAGCCTCTTCATCATTGCATTAACAAGTGCTTTGACTCAGAGGTTGCCAGCCTCTTCATCATTGCATTAACAAGTGCTTTGACTCAGAGGTTGCCAGCCTCTTCATCATTGCATTAACAAGTGCTTTGACTCAGAGGTTGCCAGCCTCTTCATCATTGCATTAACAAGTGCTTTGACTCAGAGGTTGCCAGCCTCTTCATCATTGTAAAAATGTATTACCGCTTTTTTTTTTAATTCAATCGTAACATCTCAATTATCCCGCCAAAAATTATTGGGTCTAAATTGGTTTTTATTATTATTATTTTCAGAAACAAACTAACTTGTTTTTTACGAATTTATCATTCATAAAGTCTTTATGATATATTTTCAACTTATAATGAATATGAAATTATAATTGTTATTTTGAAAAAAAATTATTCATGATCAATTCATGATTTAACCAGTTCCTTCAAATTAGGAGAGCATATTCAAATATAATCGCTCATTAAAATCAATTTTTATGTTTTTTTTTAAATCGAAATTATCTCATCATAAACCACGCAAACTGACTATTTGTTCTTATCACCATGTTACCAATATCAGAATTGTCTTTACAGCCAAAATTTCGCTCGATAAAAGTCCATCCAATAGTGAGATAATTGAGCAACTAACATTTTTCCATATCACAAAAACCTCCGCCAGCATGACAAGTTCAGAGCAGCCAAAAAATGAAAATTGGTTCAATTGCTGTGGCCTTAAGCCAATTAATGTATTCAAATACCCTAGTCAAGCATCAAAAATTATTTGGGGCGTCAATTACAATAATATTTTACAAACGTCATCACAAATTATAGAACTTATTAAATCTAACAAAATACCTATCCAAATGACACTTAACTTGATTGATATTTTTTCACAAATTCGTGATAAAGAAATTAAATTATTTTCAGAACTTTACCAAAAGATATCAAACGCATTTTCATACATCAATGAACCAGAAAATGAGAAATTGGCGACACTTCTACACTATCAAGGTTTCAAATTCGAAAACTTCAAACCGAAAATGACAGAAGCAGAAATTCTCAATTTATATCCACAAAAATCTCCTTTATACTATATTGCATGGGATAAAGTTGATGATCTTAAATGTAAATTCCCAAATCTTGATATTAATCAGGAGACTAATGATATCGCACCACTTGACTGTGCAATTAGATATGGATCAGAATTGTGTTTCATTTACTTGAAAAATTTAGGAGCTCAATACACTAGATACTCCGAAAGATATGCTATTCAAGGTGGAAATATTAACATTTTTATGCAAATGATAGAAGATGGTAAATCATTTGATAACATGATGAATACAGCATTGGATTATCGAAAATATGAAATTGCCAGGTACCTTAAATCCAATTTAGGTCAAACATTTGATTCAATTGCAGAAAATATGTATTTCGGAAATTATGATATTGCCTCTTATTTACTTTCTAATGGAGAAGATATCAACAAAATATATAACATTCTCTTTCTTTTCATTATTATCATCGTTTTATGAAATTCTTTCGATGTTAATGAATGTCCTCTTACTATAGCTATCAATGCGAATTCAATAGAAATTGTCCAATTCTTAGTAGAGAATGGTGCAGATGTTAACACGAAAGTTATTCTTTTTCTTTTCATATTTATCGTTGTTTTAAGGCATTATTTTTCTTTTCATATTTATCATCGTTTTATGGAATTCTTTCGATATTAATGAATGTCCTCTTAGTATTGCAATCAATGCGAATTTAATAGAAATTGTCCAATTCCTAGTAGAGAATGATGCAGATGTTGACATGAAACTTATTCTTTTTCTTTTCATATTTATCATTGTATTATTACATTATATTTCTTTTCACATTCAACATTGTTATATTCCATTATATTTCTTTTCATATTTATCATTGTTTTATTATATTATATTTCTTTACATATTCAACATTGTTTTATCACATTATCTTTATTTTCATATTTATCATTGTTTTATGGCATTCTCTTTCTTTTCATTATTATCATTGTTTTATCACATTATCTTTATTTTCATATTTATCATTGTTTTATGGCATTCTCTTTCTTTTCATTATTATCATTGTTTTATCACATTATCTTTCTTATCATATTTATCATTGTTTTATTACATTATCTTTATTTCCATATTTATCATCGTTTTATGAAATTCTTTCAATATTAATGAATGTCCTCTTACTATAGCAATCAATGCGAATTCAATAGAAATTGTCCAATTCCTAGTAGAGAATGGTGCAGATGTTAACATGATACTTATTCTCTTTCTTTTCATGTTTATCATTGTTTTATAACATTCTCTTTCTTTTCATATTTATCATTATTTTATTATATTCTTTTTCTTGTAATATTTATCACTGCTTTATGATATTCTTTTTCTTTTCATATTTATCGTTGATTTATTACATTTTCTTTATTTTCATATTTATCATTGCTTTATGATATTCTTTTTCTTTTCATATTTATTATCTTTTTGTTACATTCTGTTTCCTTTCATATTTATCATTGTTTTGTTACATTCTGTTGCTTTTCATTTTTATCATTGTTTTGTTACATTCTGTTTTCTTTCATATTTATCATTGTTTTATGACATATTCTTTCTTTTCATATTTATCATTGCTTTATCATATTCCTTTTCTTTTCATATTTATCATTGTTTTATGACATTATCTTTCTTTTCATATTTATTATTGTTTTATGACATTATCTTTCTTTTCATATTTATCATTGTTTTATGACATTCTGTTTTCTTTCATATTTATCATTGCTTTATCATATTCCTTTTCTTTTCATATTTATCATTATTTTATGACATTATCTTTCTTTTCATATTTATCATTGTTTTATCATATTCTTTCGATGTTAATGAATGCCCTCTTAGTATTGCCACTAAAATTGAAGCAACAAATATTATTACTTTCTTAGTTAAACATGGTGCTACAAATATCTAATAATTCTTTTTCCGATAAAATTATTTTACATTGAAAAAGATCTGCTACATTTTTTAAAAGTTTTTTGAAGATTAAATAGGAGTACAGCACTCAAAGTGCAACTCCACAAACTAAAAAAAAACAATTTAAGAAATTGTTCGCAATTTGGACGTAGCTTGTCTATTTATTTTTGAGGGTTTTACATAGTATGCAAAAAATGCGCAAAAAACGATTCCGGGAAATTGTTCTCTTTTTGCTCTCATTTAAATGCATTTGCGCACTTTAATTTGAAATATAAGAGTTTTGGAAACTATCAAAATTATCTGCTCAAAAACTATAGAACTTCAAAGGTGTTAATAGAATTACCAGCCTTACATATAGTGTTTAATATGATGATGCACATCATGCTGGGATTTATTCCTTATTCATCTAGTTATTTTAAGATTTACAACCCCCTGAAAATTTTGTCAAAAATAATAAATGAACCTTTTTCCATTTTCAGTATCTTAGTTATTTTAATTAGTTTAACAAGTAGTTATGGTAGATACCGAATTTTCTATTTATATTCATTGAAAATGTTTAGATAGTGAAGAAGAAAATATTGCGTGTCAAACCGCAAGATTCGTTATCAATAAGAATGTCTTTGTTATCCGTTTCTAAGAACAGAGCTGACGAACCACAAGGTTCAAGTGGTGTTTTAGCTCGTTATCAGGAACGGTTAGCTTCAAAATATTCTCAGATAGTTAAAAAATTGCAAGATAAGGCGAATTCGCAATCATCAGAATGTCGAATGCAAATGGCAAATAAAATGATGCTTTACCGTCAAGCAGAATCCGAAATATTGACGAATCAAAAAGCAATTTGCGACTCTCTCGGTACAACTCAAGAACATTATGACGTTTTAAAGGAAAAACTACAAAAATTATCTGATGAACTACTAGAAAAATCGAGAAATCTTAAAACAGACTGCATGGAGCTTTATGACAACACATTTAAATCATTACATCCATTAGTTGAAGAATGTTTTAACGAATCTCAAGATATTATACCACAAATGCCTGTTGCTTATGCAGATAAATTACCTCGTTGTGTCTCAACACTTAACGTAAATTACCTTAGGAACAAGCAAGAACTGATTAAAACATTTTTCACAATAGAATTAGGAGTTATGAGGCAAAACGCATCATTAATGGATGAGTTTCAGCATAGAACTGACGAATGGAAAGCAAATAGATTCAATAGTCTCGTTGCTGACGCTAAAAACAAATTTAATCCGAATAATACCATCGATCTTATGCCATTTTACGAAAACTTCCATCAAGAACAAGGACGATTTACACTTTGCTGCAAGAAATTACTGCAAAATATATCTCTTGTCGCTCCTCCAGCACAATTTTCGATGGATGATCTGAATAAGTGGTGGGCAGAGGTAGAAGACATATTATCATTGCATGCAGAGTTCATTAAACAGTTTACAGCTAAATTACAAGCGAAAGTTGACGAAGTTAACAACGAAAATGCGGAATACTTACAGAAACTCGAACAAGAGCTCGTTACTCTTAAAGAGGAGACAGAATCAAGTGCAGCCATTGCTGAAATTACCCCGTTATTACGCGCAAGTCAAAAATATAATGCAACAGTTGTTGAAAAATTAACAAAATACTGGGAAAACCGCAAAGTCGCTCTTAGAAAATCATTTGAATCGATCAAAGAGTTTGTAACTCCACTTATTAACGATTATGCAGAATATACAACTAAATTAAACACATTTAAGCAGAATTACGAGACAGAACAGAAGACAGTCGATGAACAAAGTACTCAGCTACTTGATGGTTACGAACAAACCCTTACACAAAAGACAAATGAAATCACTACTCTTGTTGATGCTCAAAAGATCAAACAATGTGTTGATGACTGCAAGCAAACATTATCCAAGATCGAAGCCGAATACAGGGAGCACTACAAGAAGGTTTTAGCCATAATTGAAAAACAACCAGGCGAATTAGTTTCAATTTACGAATCATCAGAGACCAATATGCTCACAAAACTCAAGATGAAGAAGACTGCAAACAGTACAGAGTTCGATGAAGCAACAGCTCTCAATACATCAGCATCAACTCGTCAAAAGTCCAATTCCAGGGCTCCTAGACGTACTCCAAAGGCCAAGGAGTCGAAGACAACAGCTCTCAATGTATTCTCATTCAGTCTCGAGAACGGCGCCAAATTTGAAGAAATTGAATCGATCGCAGTCATTCCCCCGATCGACGAATACACCGACGAACCTGAGGTATCAGCTCACGGCAAAGGAAAAGGCAAGGCACCACCGAAAAAGCCGGCCAAACCACCGCCAAGACCGAAGAAACCCGGCCAAAAAGGAAAAGGCGACGAATTCGAAGAAGTCGAAGCCCCAGAATTCTCTGTTACAGAGACCCTTCCTAAAGTCGACGGAAACATCATAGTTTACGTATATACTCCGTTCAATACAGATATTATTGATTGGATTAACCAGTTCAGACGAATAATTATCACTGATATTAATAGTATTTATTCCAATCAGATGAGGAGTGTGAGCGATACCCAAGTTAAACAAGATTTAGTCGATCAATTAAATGAGAGATTAAGAACTCACGCTCCACGAGCCAATGCAATTGAACTAAACATTGCACAGGCAAGAACCCTTCAAATAGAATCAAGGAAAGTCCAATTAGAGAAGCATTTCAGACATGCTGTTGCTCAATTCAACCAATCCAACACAAACATCGAAGGATTGATTGCCAGAAAGAAGACAGCGCTAGAAAAGGAATGCGAGAAACTTGATACATATGTAAATGACTTAAACAACGAGAAAAGTTCCACGAATTTCTCAGTTTTGGGTCAAAATTTACATATCAGCGAACGCCAGTTCAATGCAAGTTTAGAAGCAACTAGACAAGACTTGATGAAAGAGATTGACAATCTCCAGAAGTTCACGAATGATTCTAACGAGAGATTCATCAAAAACATCGTTGGTGATGAAGGATGTCCACAAGAAGAAACAGACATGGCAAATGAATATTTCGGAAGAATGAAAGAACAAGTTGACATCGTTATAGGTAAGATGAGAGAAAACGCAAATGGACAACTCGACCAGATCAACCAGAGATGCCAGGAGATCCTCCAGAACTTCGATTCTTTGATGCCAATACATCAAGCTGATGTAAGTTTCATCGAACAATTAAATTCAATGGAAATGGAAGCGAAATCGAAATTCGAAACTTTGTTGGCGAGAAACAAATCAAGGGAGTCCGAAATCGACTTCGCAATACAAAAAGCAACAGAAGCACAGGCTTATGTATCAGGAGAACCTCAACAAGTCATGTTGAAGCAGTTCGAATCTTTGGATAACATAAGAGTTTTGATGGCAAAAAGAGGAAATTATTTGTCACTTTTGACATCAAATGTTTCAACGGAACCCATTGGTTATACAATAGATTTAGGTGATGAAGGTGGAGATAAAGTTGCTCCAATGGAATCACCAACTGCAAAAGGCTCAGATTCCAAAGGAAAACGTCCGAAATCGAAGAAATCAGAAAGAGATTCCAAACCAAAAGAAGCTCCAAAGAAACAAGATGTCAAAGCGAAAGCAACAGACAAAGTTGATAAAACTGAAGATAAAACAGAAAGTACTTTATCTTTCTCTCAACACTTACAAAACATCGGTCAAGATTTCACTGCTGCCGTTAATAAATCTTCAACTGATTACTATAACACATTGAAGGGAAGAAAGATCGGAATCACAAGGACAGAACAGATTCCTCCAGCACAACAAGAACTCGTTGACAATATGCAGCAAAGATGGACAAAGCTCATTGAATCAAGCCAATCTGTTACAGAACAAAGCGTTTTGAGATTCAGATCACAAGTAATTAATGCATCAACTGTTGCGAGATCAGCTGCAAAAGTTATATTCGATTGCTTCGAGAAATATTACGACCAAATGGTTGTTACAGCCAGATCTGATGTACAACAGAAATTCGAGGTCGACATGAAGCAATTACAAGCTGAAAGAACAAAGAACAAACAGAATTTGACGCCTGCTTTAGCTGATCCAAATAACAGTGAACAATTCGCGCAATTGATTAACCAAGAACAAGATAGAACTGCCAAGGAATCTAAAACAATCATGGAGTTCCAAGGCGGTGTTTTATCTGCGGAAAAACATGTTGCGCAGTTGTTTATGACACATATTCCTGTTGTCAGCCAAATGTGTCTCCAATTGTTCGATGGATTCATTTTAACAGACGATTTGAAACAAGGAGCAGCTCCTGGCGCTAAGAGAAAGACAATGAAGGAATTACTCAAAGAAAAGATGAGACAAGAAGGAAATGGACCAGTTGATCAGACAAGAAACGTAAAGATAAGACAATGGCCAGCATTGCCTGCACAAATGTCTCCTTTGAATCCACAAACACCAACAGAAGGAACAGGAACAGCTGAGAAATCAGAGAGATCTGGTTCAAGAAAGAAGAAGAGACCAGCAAAGACAGAAAAGACTGTAGCTGCCGAACCATCCAATGATAAAGAATCTGGTGTTGTTTTGTCTTCTCTTGATACTGTTTTACATCATGGCGCAATTGTCGAAAGAAACAGATGTTTCGATGAATACGAAGAGAAACTAAAGAAGAGAATTGATGAGTTCCAGGAATACACGAAATCCCTTATTAATGATATGAATGCATTCACTGCTCATTGGAAGCTTTGCGTGCAAAAGATCAAACCAAATAACTCATTCTTTGAAACACAAAATGTTTAATAATAAAATTATTGATTGTTTTAATAAAAAAAAATACATAACTCTTTATATTATCCAACCAACAGCATTGGCTATTTAAGAGTGCACTTACCCCCGTATGACACGACTTTCAATTATGATCTTTAATGTTATTTTTCAATTACGCTCCTCGCCAGTTGTCAGAATTTTGAATTAAAGTCAGATGGCATAAGTGCACCCTTAAAGAAAATAGAAAAGCACTCATTAAACCAATCATGTTTTCAACGTCTTCTTCTTCAATGCGATAGATACGTGATACAAGTTTTTCCAAGACCCTGTCATGCCAGGGATCTGCATTTTGATAAGAAAGTTAATCTCATCTGGATAAACAAAAAGAACTATAAAGAATGGAATAAGCATTCTAATTAACATGGCTACTAGTTGAATAGGAAAATTAGTCTCTTTCAGCCATTGCTTTCATTTCTAGTGTAGGAAACTGAAAAGAAGCAATCAGTCACTTTTATCTTAAAAAGAAGAGGAACGCCACTTTTAGATCATGTACCTAATGTTAAATATTTCAGGGTAATTTCATAACAAGAATTCAATTTATGAATTCAGAAGTATATTCAATTTTTCTGTGAAATTTGAATTCAGATATTCATGATTTGTTTTTATCTTTTTGCTTCCGTAATATCAGAGCAGTTCAACGGGGAAGATACTCTTGTTATTGAGGATGGTGTTACTGAAATCAATGAATCTCAATACGAGAACTGTTCTAATTATACAAAAATTATTTTCCCAACAAGTCTCCGCGTTATAGGAAATTTAGCATTTGCACATTGTGAAGGTTTAATACATCTCAATTTTCCACCAAATTTAGAACGAATCGGCAAACAAAGTTTTATAGGATGTTTAAACTTAACAACAGTTACATTTTCCAATGCACTGAAAATAATAAATAGTTATACATTCTGCAATTGCTCAAGTCTTTCTACTCTTTCTCTTCCTTCAAGCTTAGAAAGCCTCGAACGTTCAAGTTTTCAAGACTGTACTCAACTTACAGAAGTTGCATTCAATGCATCAGATACAAATATTAGTGCTGCAGCATTTTCTGGCTGCTTATCACTCACAAATGTCACTCTACCAAAATCGACAAAAATTATCAGAGAAAGTCAATTCGAAAACTGCAGAAATCTCACAAAACTAGTTAACACTGGAAATATTGAGATTATTGAAGACAAAGCGTTTACTAACTGTTCAAAATTTTGGGATTTTACTTTCGAAAATTTAATCGAAATAGGTTCCTTTTCTTTTCAAAATAGCAACATTGGTGTAGCAATGTTTGGTAGCGAATTAAAATCTATTGGTGAATACAGTTTCTCAAATTGTCAAAATTTATCTTACGCTGAGTTTTATTTAATCGATACAAAACTATCAGAAGGAACTTTTTCACACTGTGCCTCCTTAAATAAGTTAAGTATGTCAATAAAACAGTCCAAAATTCCTGATTATTTTGCGGATGGATGTGAAAATCTAAAAAACGCATATCTTGGTGATGAATTAAAAGAAGTAGGTGATTGCGCATTTAGAGAATGCTATAATTTACAAAAAGTTTCATTTTATCAGTATTTGACTAAAATTGGAGAAAGTGCTTTCGAATCATGCACCGGACTGACTTCTGTCACATTTGAACAATGTACCTTAACAGAAATTGGCCCTATTTCCTTTTACGGTTGTTCAAATTTAAATTCTGTTGTTTTACCAAAACCGATAGCAAGTATTAATATCGGAGCGTTTGCATTGTGCACTGATTTAAGTCATGTTACCCTTCCTGATACATTAAAAGTAATAAACGCCTCTGCTTTTGAGGAATGTATAGCATTATCTGACATTAATTGGCCAGCATCACTGGAATACATCGGTGAAATGGCGTTTTTGCTTTGTTTTGATCTGAAAGAGCTGTTTCTCCCCAAAACTATTGAATATATTGGTGAAAGAGCATTTTTTGCAACTCCTAACTTGAAAAAAATAACAACTGCTTTGAAAAGCGATTTTATAATATGTGATACTGCGTTTAACGATCTTTTGATGCTGAATGAGCTCGATTTTCTCTCAAATAATTTTGATATACTTAAATTTACCAATAAATCAAACATTACCAAGATAGTCTTTAACTCTGACTTAATAGTAACATTTCCTTGTATTAGCGACTTCATATTTTTGGAAAATTTGACGATTATTAATCCAATTAATTCAATTTCTATTCCAAGTTATTTTGTTTCTGGATACCTTTCTATTTACATTTTTGCGAACATTGGCTCGGTTGCAATTGATGCTTTCGCTGACGCAGATATAAAAGAAATCTTCCCAAAAAGTCTGCGAATTATCAAAAATTATGCATTTCAATCATGTGAAGGAATAAAGCAACTCAATTTTCCACCAAATTTAGAACAGATCTTTGCACGAAGTTTCTTTGGTTGTACAAATCTGACAACGATTACGTTTTCTAACGCATTGAAGATCATTGGTGTTCAAGCATTCTCTGGTTGTTACAAACTTGCCACTCTTTCATTACCAAGCAGCTTAGAAACTCTTTCATCACACAATTTCAGAGATTGTAAACAGTTGACAGAAGCTGTGTTTAACAGCAATAATACACTAATCGATGCAAGATCATTTAGTGGTTGCTCAAATCTTACAAAAGTTATTTTACCAAAATTTATCAAAATTATCAAAGACAGAACATTTGAAGATTGTGAAAATCTAGAAGAAATCATCAATATTGAAAGTATAGAAGTTGTTGAAAACAGTGCTTTCTCAAGATGTTCAAAATTAAGACAATTTAATTTTAATTCCATCAAAGAAATAGGTTCATATTCTTTCTATCGGTGCAATCTTGAGACAATAAGTTTTGGTGATAGTTTGAGATCAATTAAAGAGAATTCTTTCTCGGAATGTCAAAAATTATCAAAAGTTGAGTTCGGCCATGGCAATCCTGCACTTTCTTCAGGTATATTTTCATTGTGCAGTTCATTACAAAAGCTTCTCTTGCCAAAAGAACTAACAAAAATCCCTGATTCTTTTGCATCTTTTTGCACGAATTTAACTATTGTTTCTCCACTCAATAAAGTAACCGAAATAGGTAATTCTGCATTCTATGGTTGTTCTTCTTTGAAAGATTTCAAATTTGGTATCGAATTAACAAAAATTGGTGAAAAGGGCTTCTCAAGATGCACTCTAGCCTCTATTGACCTTAAAGATACTAAAATAAAAGAAATAGCCGATCATTGCTTTGATTCATGCAAAAATACCATTAAAATTGTTTTTCCAAATAATTTGACCGTTATTGGCAACAATTCATTTTATGGTTGTCGTTCTTTAGTTCATATAAACTTTCCTGAATCACTCAGAGCTATCAATGCTTCGGCGTTTTTGAGTTGTTCAGAATTAATCAAAATTGAGTTACCAAAGTCACTAGAAATTATAGGAGATATGGCATTTAATTCTTGTTTTGCCATGGATGAACTAGTTCTTCCGGAAAAACTCCAATTTATTGGTTCTAGAGCTTTTGAAGATTCAGAAATTCTGAAAAAGATCACAATCTGCATGGATCCGCTTATCAAAATAAACGATGATGTGTTTGGAGATCTCTTTCATTTAAATGAATTAGTTTTTCATTCAAATAATTATGAGATACTCAAATTTATTAATCAATCATTGATTCGCAATGTTACATTTGACAGTTCCTCAGTAACAACGATTCCTTCGCTGTGTTTTTGTCCATATTTGAAAAATTTAATAATTTTAGATCAAAAAAGCTCAATTTCTCTTCCAAGTCGATTTGTTCAAAGCCAAGATCTTCATATTTACATATATTCAAACATTGACTCAATTGCAGATGATGCTTTCGCTGAAGCAGAAATTAAAGAAATTATTTACTGCGGAAACACTACAGTTGTTGGAGATTTCCTTGTAAATGCTATTTCCTGTGATTCTGTCCAATGTTCACTTAATTATAATAAAAAAACATTCGGAGGAAAATATTTCAACAGTAGCAAACTCGTTTGTCCGTATTACCATGTAGGAATGAGCAAGACAATCAAGGTTATTATTAGTTTATCAGTCATTGCCGCTGTAATTTCAATAATAATTGTTTCATTCTATATTTATCGAATAAGAAAAGACCAAAAATATATCAAGGATAAGATGTTAATACAAAAACTAGTCGTAGAAGATTTCGGATAGATTGTATTTGTTTTATGTTTAAAATAATTTTCAATTATTTTATGAATAAAGAATAGTGTTTTATGACTTATTTTTGTCGAACATAGTGTTTTACATTATGATTGTTGCAATTCTGAGAATGTTTGCTAAATATTTAAGTCATAATATTAGCATACCTTCATTTTAATAACAAAAAAGTATAAAAGCCATATGAAGTACTATGTAGTGATTTATAATTACTTTTTCCCGATCAAAAATATTAGCTTTGATCATATAGGATTAGCATATAAAGCTTGAGTGTCAAAAAATTGAGAGAATGTCAGAAAGTGGTAAGTACACCCATATGGTACACTAATACTCCTAAGACATGGTTTATTTTCAATGATGCTGCACGCCGATTGTCAAAAAAATTGAATTAAAGTCAGATGGGCGTAAATGTGGTCTTAAAAAAGATTTTTTTCAATATTGTCACTTTTATCAAATCAAATCTTGCAGAACCAAAAGAAAGCATTTTTGATCATATTGGATCAACATGTGAATAATTATTCTTCATAGAAAAATTCTGTTTCCATCATTGTTTCTAAATTTCATGAATTTAAAAGGATCTAATGGTCTTTTCTTTTAGATATTTAACAAGGTAAGCAAATTTATTAAAATATAAACTTAAGTTGAATACCTATTCAATCATTTCGCAGGTATCTTGCAGACAAAAAAAAACACCAACAAGCAACACAAAGTCATATATAATACTGCTCATTTTGATTAGTATATAAATACTGTATAAACAACATTTTACATATTTGTATCAAATTAACTTTTTAGTCATTTAATACTTGATTGTTTGATTATGCCTTTTGATTATTTTAATTCGCTTTTGAGCTTTGTGCGGCACACCTGGGAGATTATTTGGACATAATGTGGCACCAAAATTATAAGACTTATCAGAATTCGTTTTAAATGTCTGATCATCTTCATTATACCAAATATGGAAGTTTTTGACAACAATTGGATGTCGAACATCGAATTTTGAAAACTGATGAGTGTACGATGAGCTTTCCGTAGTGCTATTTCTTCTGAATCTTTGAATTAAATTAAATGCAAAATAAGGAGTATGCTGGGAAGAATCAGAATCAAAAAATTCTGAATTTGCATACGGATCAGTGTTTTCAAAATTAAAATCAACTCCTTCCCATGCTGGGTAAATAAAACATGCTTTCGCATATTTTGGAAGTGTCCACATGCTAAAATAATGATCACCGCGAGTGAAATAGAAGTCAACAGTTTCACAAAAACCTGTAGCAATTTTTATGAATGAAAAATAAAGTGTTTGATTTTCTGATGATGATTTAATCGTGATCTCACAAATATTTTTAAAAACCAGTTCAAGATGGTTTGCTGTACTTGTTCGGAAATTCTCTGGATTTAAAAATGCAACATATGTATCTTCTCCTGGCTCAGGTGGGTCAAATGAGATAGTACACTCTCCGAGACTTTCAATCTTATACGAGTTTGCGTTATGAACGGTATATTTAGGGTTGTACAAACTGGCACGCCTGCTGGCACACCTTTTTTGGCCAGCTGGCACGATTTTTTTAAAAAACACATTAAAAAAGTCACTTTTTGCCCCATCTAATGAGATTTTTTTTTACAATTTTTTCCCCTTATTTTTCAATTTAGATATGATTTTAAGCTCTCCAAATTGAAGTTTACCTGATGTTTCTTAGTTTTTATGATAATAAAATGTTGCAAAGTTGAGTTTGGATTCAATAAATTTAAGAAAATTTTATTTTACAATGAAATTATAAGAAAGGATGTTTTTATCCTATGTCAAAGAGAATACATTTGTAGATCCCGACTTTTGACATGGTTGAAAATTCCAAAAAAAATTCAAAATTTAAAAAAAAATTAAAAAATATAAATTTCATGTTAAAAATTGATTTTTGAATTTTTTTTGGAAAAATAGAATGTCATATTTTTATGTTTTATTGCTATTTTTTACGAAATCAATAAAATATTTGTTAATTTGGCTGAGATTATAAATAAAATCTTTCTAAATCTTGCAATTGATTGCTAAAATCTGTTTTATGTATTAATTGGCATTGAGATTCGTTATAAAAGAATGCGAATTATTTTGTATGAGTAAACGTATTTTGTAAAATTTCAAATTCTCTTCTCTCATTACTTACCTTAGATCTCTCGGCTTTTAGCTCTCAGATTTCGCTCATAGAACTCAGGTTTTAGTTATGTACTCATAGATGTATCATTACTGCCCGCAGATCTCTCATTACTACCTTACTAACCAGATCTTAACTCTCATTACTACCTTACTAACCAGATCTTAACTCTCATTACTACCTTACTAACCAGATCTTAACTCTCATTACTACCTTACTAACCAGATCTTAACTCTCATTACTACCTTACTAACCAGATCTTAACTCTCATTACTACCTTACTAACCAGATCTTAACTCTCATTACTACCTTACTAACCAGATCTTAACTCTCATTACTACCTTACTAACCAGATCTTAACTCTCATTACTACCTTACTAACCAGATCTTAACTCTCATTACTACCTTACTAACCAGATCTTAACTCTCATTACTACCTTACTAACCAGATCTTAACTCTCATTACTACCTTACTAACCAGATCTTAACTCTCATTACTACCTTACTAACCAGATCTTAACTCTCATTACTACCTTACTAACCAGATCTTAACTCTCATTACTACCTTACTAACCAGATCTTAACTCTCATTACTACCTTACTAACCAGATCTTAACTCTCATTACTACCTTACTAACCAGATCTTAACTCTCATTACTACCTTACTCATCAGATATCTAATTATTTACATATGATTTCTCACATCTCACTCAAGTCTCATTACTTACCCTATCTTTTTAACCTTTTCTGATAATTACTGAAATAACTAAATCCTTTTTTTAGTTTAATTCTGATATTAAATTTTTAAAATCTCTTTAATTTTTTGAACTACGCCTTTAATTTGTAATTGCCGATTTCACAGATTTGAACCATTTAATAAAATAACATTATTCAACTTAATCATATCAAACATGGTAGTTTGATTTTCAGATCTACATTTTAAAAACCTCTTTATTATCTTGAGTTATACTTTTATTATATAATACCTGAGTTCATAACTGAAAACTCTTAATTAGAGTACAATATTCAACTTAATCATAACAAGATTTGTTGAATTTCAAGTTTGATTTATATCTTCCATCACTTAAAACTCTCACAGCTTACAATATAAGCTAAAAAGTATATTTTCATAGTAATAAAATTAATTATTAAATTTTTTACTTTTTCCTTTCCAAAACTAGAAAAAAAGGAAGGGAAAAGGGAAAAAGAAGAAAAAAATAATAATGAGCATATTATATAATTGTGGTCATAGGCCGAGTGGCGTGGAAAGGGTGGAGCCCGAAGGGCGACATCCTTTCCACGCCACGAGGCCCGATTTTTGGCCACTTTTTTGATTTTGGCCGCGTGCCAGCTCCTGGCAGGCGGCCCGCAAAATTGTGCCAGTTTGTACAACCCTAGGTATATTTATCGATCACACATAAGAGGAAACCGATCATAATCATAATGAAATAGAATTAAGTTTTTCTATAATATTTTAACAAAAATTGAGAAAAGCCTCAATTTAAAAAAAAGTACTGGATCTGAAGATGGAAAAGTTTTCATATTTATGCATAGTTTACAAACATCATAAAATTCGTAAAAAATTGTGAAATGAAGATAATTCAATAAATAATCTGTCCTTAACTCAAATATTGAAAAGATTCTCAATTTTATTTGTCAGAAATATTATTCTTTATTAAGTTAATATTCAGATAATTTAGTTCAATTATTTTCATATGTTCATTTTTTACAAATCAAATAGGCATCATTCAGAACGAAGCATCAAATAAATAAATGTTATATTTCATTCGTCTACGCTGAAAAGGTGGGACGCTGAAATATTCTGAAGCATAACGATATCGTATATACAAATTAAACGTTGGGATATTTTCAGAAATTTTTGACACAATGATTTGAAATCATTTGAAAGAATGCTTGAACGTCGTAATGTTCAACGCATTAATTAAATAGAAATTCTCTTTACAGTGAATTTAAAATATGATGGATTTTTTTTTCTGAAAAACCGCAGGTTCCAAAAAATGTTTGCACTATAGTAAAAAACATATCATGATACTTTTTATCGGAATGAATTGAATAATGTTTAGTGATCTGTAGTGCGGAGGTATAAACTTACAACAATTCTTTAGGTAAAAAATTTGAATAATTTCATGTCAAAGTGATTATAGAAAATGGGTTTATAATTTATTCGTTTGGGCAAGCATGCCAACTTCGGCAAAATATATATTATTTTCAAAAAATGTATTTTAATTTTTTTGGGTTATAATTCTATAGCTAAAATAGTTTAATGAACAATATTTTGCAATGATGGGTCATGGTCATGGAATGGTGAAACTATTTTAGCTATAGAATTATAACCCAAAAAAATTAAAATACATTTTTTGAAAATAATATATATTTTGAAAAACAAACTTTTACATACAAATCTATATAGCCTTTTTGGATATTGCATCGCGAATTCGAGCAATCATATCATCTATTATTTGATCTAAATCTCTAATGGCTTGATCAGCGTTTTCTTCTGTTTTCTTGGTCGAAACTTCTTCTACAGCAATTTTCATCTTGAGATTGCTTATATTCTTTCGAATTTGAGATTCTGGAAGAGGATTTGGGTTTTTCTGCTTAACTCGCCTGTAAGATGCTAGCTTTTTGTTTAGACTCGTTATAGCAGACTTGCATTCGTCTATATTTTCATTCATCTCATTTGCAGAGCCAATGAAATCAAAAACAGATGCAACTCTTGTTTTTGCTTGTGTAAGTTGGATGCAATTGTTGTTAACTTCATTCTCGAGTCGAACTTGTTCTTGGTAAAGTGAAATTATTTCTCCCTCGATTTCTACAGATTTCCAATATTGATCACTCTTTTTAAGATCGTTTAGTACTTTTGCACGAGCAATCTTTGTATTTTTGAACTGTTCAATTGTTTTTGAAAGATGTTGGATCGCTGAAGGAGTTGCAGTTTGTAATTTTTGTCTCTCTTTGCCCTCAGAGAGAACATTGTTAATCATTACGCCATGTTTGTTGATTATTTGTCGCATTCTTACAATTTTTGACTTAAGTGATACCTTTTCTGCTTGCATTTGTGTTATCTCTTGTTTTAGTTGAGTTACTTGCTCAGGTGTTACCACTACTCGATTTTTACTTCCCCGAGAAGTATAGAAGCCTCCGAATTCATAACTTCTAGCAGTTGATGAACCCGAAGCATTCATTACAAAAATTTTCACACTTTGAAAATGTAATAAACAGAAATTCATCAAAAGTGACAGCTCTCAATTTTTTGACATTTGTAAATTCTAAATTGAATGAGAAAAATGAAATAATACTAAGCATAATACAATATTCTAGATTTAATTATAATTAGGGGAAAGTTAGTTTTGAGAGTACTTTTCATAGGCATATAGAATGAAATCTTCTGAAAAATAATATCACATAAACTCATATTATTTTCTAATATATAACTATTTTATATAAAAATCAAATTCAATGATCTTAAAAGCGAAGGATAAACCTCAAAATTTACGGCAAACCCAAATTTTAGCTAAAAGTGACTGGGGAAAAAAACGTTTAGTATTAAAAAAAAGACCGATGAGAGCTTCGTTCGAAATATAGAGGGAACTGAGAATGCGCAACCATTCTCAGGGAATATTGGATGCTATTCCCGTTCCCTCTGTATGGAAAATTGAGGTTTTCAAAGGGAGTTAAAATAATATCAAATTTATACTAATTTACTTCAAAATACAAAAGTATTTGACAGCTAAAATTAGTTACTTTAGCAAGCCTATCAATACCCTTTTACGATTATTGTTACTTTTTCGAAATAAAAGTAAAAACAAATTTATACTAATTTACTTCAAAATACAAAAGTATTTGACAGCTAAAATTAGTTACTTTAGCAAGCTTATCAATACCCTTTTACGATTATTGCTACTTTTTCGAAATAAAAGTAAAAACAAATTTATACTAATTTACTTCAAAATACAAAAGTATTTGACAGCTAAAATTAGTTACTTTAGCAAGCCTATCAATACCCTTTTACGATTATTGCTACTTTTTCGAAATAAAATAAATTTATTATCAAAAACCTTTTTTTTCTTAGTAAAAATAAACGAAATTTTTTACCTTATGAACTTTTGATGGAAATATGCAAATTTAAAATAATAAAGAAAGCCGCGAGCGAAGCGATCGGCTTAGTTCGAAGATTTTGATTCAACTCTTTGCTGATCTGTAATTCGCAGAAGCCGCGAGCGAATCGAGCGGCTTAGGTCTAAGATTTTGATTCAAATCTTTGCTTATATTCCTTAAATTCTTTATGAAACTCGCAACAGTTCCATAAAAAATTTTAAATTCTAAACTGTCGAAATTACCGATCGGTAATCACACCCTTCACGGGTGCGTCACTTTTTACAGGCGTGTCACTTTTAGCTAAAATTACCCCTACTCAAAATTTACGAATATAATGAGTGGGAATATAATGCTTATCTATCATAAAACCATATGAAATATCAATTTTTGCTTTACGCCTAATTTTTGACGACAATTAGCAAAAAATGTTAAATGTTAACACTCAGTCCATTTGAATATGAAAAATAAAATTGACTTTGATTAAATGTTTTTATTTATCATGCAATTCTTCTTGCGACCAAAGATTTGAATAAAAGTTCAAAAAATAAGATAGCTTAAAAAATAATATACGGTAGTGTTTACTAATAGATGAATAGTATATAAATTCTATTAAAATGGATTTGATCCAAAAAATATATAAAATTTGATCATAAATAAAATTGTTTAGTTGTCATTTAAAATGATGTAATTATTCAAATTTTGCTAAGACCCATTCGTCTTTGATATATAACTCCCATTTTTGCATTTCTGGCTCGTACCAAAATTTTGAAACTTCGAATAATTCGTTAGGAGTGTAATTACTATTCGTTTTTGGATTAATATCGAGAGATAAATGTGGTGTATTGTTGTATTTTTCAATGAACTGCCGCGACTAACTTTTGGTAATTCGATTTCTTGAAGTTGAATGCTCTTCTTATTGTATTTTCGGCAACATTCAATTTAATTTTACCATTTTCCAATTCAACTTCCTTTCCCACACTTTTGTAAGATTCACCTTCTTCTATTCTTCTTTTAGCTTCAAATAGTCATTCTCTGCTTATAGATTTGGCAGTAGTCATAAAAGTAGTCCTTCTTTTGTGATAAGATTCAAATTTGAATGTGGATGATAAATAAAAATCAAAAATAATTGTTATAATTTAAATGAAGAAGTAATTTAAAACGATTTTATTTATGATCAAATTTTATATATTTTTTGGATCAAATCCATTTTAATAGAATTTATATACTATTCATCTATTAGTAAACACTACCGTATATTATTTTTTAAGCTATCTTATTTTTTGAACTTTTATTCAAATCTCTGGTCGCAAGAAGAATTGCATGATAAATAAAAACATTTAATCAAAGTCAATTTTATTTTTCATATTCAAATGGACTGAGTGTTAACATTTAACATTTTTTGCTAATTGTCGTCAAAAATTAGGCGTAAAGCAAAAATTGATATTTCATATGGTTTTATGATAGATAAGCATTATATTCCCACTCATTATATTCGTAAATTTTGAGGTTTATCCTTCGCTTTTAAGATCATTGAATTTGATTTTTATATAAAATAGTTATATATTAGAAATAATATGAGTTTATGTGATATTATTTTTCAGAAGATTTTGTGTTCTTCTTCAAAATTTTATTTTTTTTATTAAAAAGAATCTTTACAAAATATACATTTACTTTAATTAATATTTAAAAACGTGCTCTATCAAAAGTTCCAAAAATTCAATATTTTAGCTTTTCTGAGGTGTCACTTTTGATGAATTTCTGTTTACAACAAGATTATCTAAATAATCAAAAATTATATATTTCTATGGATATTTTTCTTGAGATTACCCGACGTTCCCAACTTCTGGAAAACGGTTTTTCACCCTTATGATCAGTTTCAGACACTTTGGGAGTCTCCCAAACTTTGATATTTTGCATTATGATAGAGAAACGTGTCTAGTTTAACGCACAGTTGTTTTAAAGGCAAATGATGATATCACATGAAATTATCAAATTATCAAATTTTGAAGTACCAGTCCAAAGGGTTAATTAGATCCTACACAGATGTGCGATAGTGAAACATATGTGTTCTTGATTTGAGAAGTCCTACTGATAGAGGTATGAATCTCACAGCTTTGTGTGAGTGTGTCTGACACTTGTATAGAGTGGAATATGCGCCGACATATATTATATAATAACATGTAGTAAGGGTTTCGTTTTGCTAAAATTGTCACTTTTATAGCTAATTAATTTTTGGTTGTTTTGCGAAACCAAAAAAAAAAAACTATGATATACAATGTGTGTGTAAAGAAAATACTTTATTTACTAGTTAAAAAATCATTTGGTATTGATCAAGTTATTTTTTCTGGATAAGATATTATATGGATAATTGGATAGAAAATACAATTATATAATCTTGTACCTGGTTTAATTAAGCTAATTGTCATCAGAAACTTGTAATTTTTATGAATTTCAGATTTTTTTTCATTACTGCTTTTCTTAATAGGTCAAGTTCTTATTTACGTTATAAAGTATGATATTTACAAATATCAAGTTATCATGTTTTTTGAGAAATTATGAGAAACAAACAAAAATGAAAAAGATAGGAATAGCAATGAATAGTGATGTGGGTATAGAAAGTGTAAGAGATATGAATGCAAAGCAATCAGTATTTAGGATATTGACCATAGATTTCGAAAAAAAATGCTGCATATTGAGCGAAAACTATGATTATATTATAAGGCTGTCATTTAAAGCATAATGAAACTATTCCCTTTTCATTTTAATCGAATAAGATAGTAAAGATTTTTGAATTAGCTAGAAACTGATGAGATGTTTTCACAAATCAGATTTTTAATCTCTATAATGCATAATTCACTCAATATCTCAATTTTGATATTGCGAGATATTTTTGCTATCGGTTTCGCAATTTTGACACAATAGTAAGAGGGTTCTATAAGCATTATTATCAACGTAGAATCTGAATATCATATCAGAAAATGTCGCAAATCTGACATTTACCCGACCAAATAGCAAAAATAATTGAATACTTTTCGCAAAAACTTTAAAAATCGATAAAAATATGAAATATAGATATTAAAGAGACTTTTTATATAATATTCATAAAGATTTTCCAAAAATATGATACCGCAAAATTAAAAAAGTAACGTCTTGAGTGGAGTCAAAGGTCGAAATTGCTAGCTAAATGTTTTTTTAGCGAAATTGCGTATTGTACGTTTTTTTCGCAAAACGAAACCCTTACATGTAGTTGATAATTATGAAAAAATAGAATTCGATGCGAATGATATTGAAAGTTGTTTTGTAATTTGATATTTTTCTTATATGTGTTAATTAGTAAATGGCTTGTTTGTTGTGATAGTACTGTGAAAAATGAAAGGTATTTTAAATTAAAAAATTGAGATTTTGAGACATCTCTAGAATTAAGAATTTATTATGTATTTGACTTTTATATAACTATATGTAAAGGATCTCGATGTCTATATGCTTTAAATAAAATTAAATAAAATGAGATAAAAAATTAAAATGGACAAGAAGATATATGGAAATGTAATTTGTATTGTATTGGTTGTTGGCAAAATGATTTTAATACAGATTTAAGGATTTGGAATGGATTTGAAATTAAATGATTTTAATTCAAGGAGTAATAAGATTTTGAACTGGTTTTTATTTTGTGAATGTAAACTCCTTCCATAGGATATGTATTAGAAAGATAATTTTTAAACTTTTTGAAAGAATTTTTTTTTGTTTGAGCGATTTTCTCATATTTAATAATATATTTAAGTTGGCGTATCTTACGCCCTTCCAAAAATATGTATTAGAAAGATAAATTTTAAACTTTTTGAAAGAATTGTTTTTTTGTTGAGCGATTTTCTCATATTTAATAATATATTTAAGTTGGCGTATCTTACGCCCTTCCAAAAATATGTATTAGAAAGATGACTTATAATTTCATAAATTATTTTGTCCCGACGGTTTGAGCGGTTATCAGAATGGTTGCTTACACAATGCGTCAGCAAAATGTCGGTTTTGGGTGCCCTTCTTGGCCTCCTGAGTACTCACCAAGATACCCCAGCTCCCGCAAAACACCTCCCTTAGGTGCGCATTACCTGACGGCATTATTTTGCAATTATTTCAAATTTTTTAGATGTCTTTTGTTAAAGTTTGTTAACTAAAGACTTGAAAACAGCTTACCGCTTCAAGCTGCTCTCTTCCCGGTTCCTCTGCCGCAATCTTCTGTTTGATTGTGCGCAAAGCTCTCCTCCTTGTGAACTTTGCCTGACAGATACACCTGGGAGACAGCATTCGGACATCTTACCGCTTCAAGCTGCTCTCTTCCCGGTTCCTCTGCCGCAATCTTATGTCTGATTGTGCGCAAAGCTCTCCTCCTTGTGAACCATGGCTGATAGAAAGAACTGAAAGACAGGATAGGAGGAACATGCCGGTTCAAGTTAACTTGCAATATGCTTCTGATTAGTGATTTTAGATGAAAGATTAGCGAAATCGCATTTAATTTGGATAGAAGGATTCAATTTTATGAAGCAGGCTCGTAGAAAATATGCAGGAATAGCACAATCTTTTGCAATCACAACGCGATTGCAAAACTTCGACCGACAAGAGTGTATTGTGCACTCTTGTCGGTCTGCATGTCTCATTCCGGGAGACATTGTCACTGCATGTCTCCCAGAATGAGACAATCTTCGCAATCATAATTGGAATGCAACTTTGACCGACAAGAGTGCACAATACACTCTTGTCGGTCTGCATGTCTCATTCCGGGAGACATTGTCACTGCATGTCTCCCAGAATGAGACAATCTTCCGCATTCATAACTTGAATGCGGAAGTTTGACCGACAAGAGTGCACAATACACTCTTGTCGATCTAAATGTATCTTACAATCAAAGACACTTTCATACAATCTTTTCGAAGTTAAAAAAAAAATTTAATTATTTCTTTCTTTTGTTTATTAAATCGCCTTACTCACGTACTAATCTCTTTTAGAGACTCTATCGAGCTATCCCCACATATAAACCTGTGACAATAATACATATTTACTCTCTTCATATTCTGATCTCATGACACATTATCGCAAAAACTATAATTATACAACACATCTCATAAAGTCTCATTTTAGCCCTATCTAAGCGTTCAAAACCTATTTTCCACACGTAATCTGATTCTTCTGGCTCCGCTGATTCGATTTCTGCTGTCAGATCGTGAAAATATGCATCACATAAAGAGATAAATAAACACAACTCAAAATTATTGCTTTTTTTTCAAATTGTCTATTCATCCATCTTTACATATTTATTATCTCCTCCGTTTCCCCTCACAAATTCTTTTAATTTTCTGAATAATACGTATAATAAAATGAATATCTCAAAAACTAAAACACAAAATTAATGTTGGAAAATGACTAGATATAATCTGAACTTTTGAATTCATACATTTTTGGAAAAAATTGAATTTTCAAAAAAAGAGCTTATTTAGGTATGAACCTGAAGAGAAATTTTAAGGAAAATATTAAGTTGTGCAATTTGCATTTATCTCTTTATGTGATGCATATTTTCACGATCTGACAGCAGAAATCGAATCAGCGGAGCCAGAAGAATCAGATTACGTGTGGAAAATAGGTTTTGAACGCTTAGATAGGGCTAAAATGAGACTTTATGAGATGTGTTGTATAATTATAGTTTTTGCGATAATGTGTCATGAGATCAGAATATGAAGAGAGTAAATATGTATTATTGTCACAGGTTTATATGTGGGGATAGCTCGATAGAGTCTCTAAAAGAGATTAGTACGTGAGTAAGGCGATTTAATAAACAAAAGAAAGAAATAATTAAATTTTTTTTTTAACTTCGAAAAGATTGTATGAAAGTGTCTTTGATTGTAAGATACATTTAGATCGACAAGAGTGTATTGTGCACTCTTGTCGGTCAAACTTCCGCATTCAAGTTATGAATGCGGAAGATTGTCTCATTCTGGGAGACATGCAGTGACAATGTCTCCCGGAATGAGACATGCAGACCGACAAGAGTGCACTCTTGTCGGTCAAACTTCCGCATTCAAGTTATGAATGCGGAAGATTGTCTCATTCTGGGAGACATGCAGTGACAATGTCTCCCGGAATGAGACATGCAGACCGACAAGAGTGCACAATACACTCTTGTCGGTCAAACTTCCTAATACAAAATTTGATTCCCTTATTATCTTCTTAACAAAACTTAAGATTTCAATAATACATCATGAAAACATTCATTTACTACATTCACACTGTTATTCCTTTCTATAAATTAACTCATTTAATAGAATCTTGTTTTTATATCTTATTATTTTCTCATAATACTTCTAATTCCTCTATTTCCTCTTCCACATAAAATTTAATTTTGTAATGCTATCATATACACTTAATGTTTTCAAATTTTCAGATTTAAATTTAATCTTTATTTTCATCATCATTTATAATCTTGTTCCTATATAAAGTTATAATAAATTATCGTCAGATTCTAATATTTATGATTCTTACTACTCAATTCAATATAATTATGTTAGTCACTCATATTCAGGAGAATAATTTAAAAATCTATAGCTCATATTTTGATAGTTATATATTTAGATGATATATATTGCAATTCCGGTTTCAACACGATCAAATGCCAAACCAAGACAAAATATATATGAATTTTCAAAATATCGATTTACATTAGAATCTATATCTAATTTTATCAATACACAAGTAGGGAATGTTCAATACATCTTTGAGCAACGTGAATAGCACAATTTTATAGGATTATTTGTTGATTATATAAAATATAAGCCAAATCGAATCTGCTGTATAGTACTTTAGTTTATCATTGAATGTTAAATGTGTTCAGATAAATATTTGAGTCAGATATCGCATTTTCTAATTTCAAAATTTATCTCATGAAGTTAGAATTTATTTGATCATACAACATCATGTTAGTCAAATTAGAGTTCAATGGCGATTCTAAAATGGAACAAATGCTTGTTTTATCAAAATGTTAAAATATTAATCTAAAAAACTTAATATCTAACCAAACCATTCTAGAATTATTATATACAGGTATAGGCAATCTAAATGCACACGGAATTCGGAAAATTAAAAAGAATATTTATGAGATTATTAAATCTTATGTAATTCAATGAAAAGTAGATAATATGAATATCCATAGGCTATATATCAACATATGAGTTTTTGGTTTGACCAATACTATACTAATGTGATCAAATTAATCTGATTTCTTAGATTTTCATTTGAAGCATTTGCAGTAGTAGGGGTACCTTTATATATTAACATATTAAAAAATTGCGCTCCGATTCGCAGTTTCTTCATGATTTTGAGATTGCATTAGATTTCGCGATGCAGAAAAAAATCACTTTAGATTCCCGTCAAACTCTAAGTATAAGCATGTCTCTATATGTAGAAACTGTCTGCGCTATTTATTTCCCGGCTCAAAAAACCACGGTGTCTGTGTGAGGAAAATACCCATTTTAGGACCCTGGGTCATGAAAATTTTCCAAGAGTTGGAAATATAGGGTATTAAAACGTCTAAGATATAGATTAATTAATGATATGATTATGTTCCTATATGGTGAAATTTTATAATTTATGATTCTAAATCTCAATTGAAGAAGGTATTAAAATCATTATCGAAAAAATATTAAAAAACTTGTATGACTTCGGTTTTCAATAAAAGCAGGTCTATCTTTGATGCACACAACTTAAAAATATCGTATATTGTGATAACATATCTAAAAATTTTGTAGATTAGATATTAACAATCCAAAACGTAACCTTTCAACATTTTCGGTTGAATTAAGATATTAAAAGCTGGTTTTCACATATCTGTAAGTCATCTGAAGATATCCCAGAATAAAAAGTATTGAGTCAAAGAAAATGGTTAAAAAAGGCATTGATGTAATTATCATAGTATTAAATTTTACAAACAAACAAAACAAATTAAGTAAACTTAGTTCTATTAATTGATCGCGATTCTTTTTTCTTTTTTACAGCAACATCTGAAGATTCTTGCGAATCATATGTAATTGAATTGATTCCTGATGGCTTTACTTTATTAAATTGATTGAATATAAAAATAATGAAAATTGCTAGCATAAAGATATAAAATGTGTAAACATTTGTTGTATTTGGAGCTGGATTAACTGATAATGGATATGTCTGTGACCATGTTTGTCCATCAGGTGAAAAAGAAAGTAAAATTTCGTTATAAAAAATTTCGGGAGTTGGACAGCTAAGCTGTCCATTTTGTAATATCGTAGCATTTTGTATTTTGTCGCCAAACTTGCATAGCGGGTTCTCGAAAGAAATGTAATTTGTTGAAATATTTATGACATCTCCTGATTCACCATCGACAATGGATGGTGAAACATTGAGAATGGTAGGTAATTGATCATTTTCGGTTAATTGGTTACTTCTTGTCAGAGATGACAGCAATAATACTATCAATGGAATCATATTATGAAAAAATAAGAAAACTGTTTGGTTTGAAATTTTTCAAAGTACGAACAAAAAAATTCTGTGAGTTTTGAATGGCCTTATAAAATTTTACTTATATATGGATGTTCTTGCAAACTCAAAATTTTACGAAAAGTTATCGTATTTAGAAGTAAAGAATGGAGTTATTGATGTACATCAGTAGAATAATCTAATCGTAATGGTTTCGACAAGCAAAATTTTTAACGTCAGATTTTTGAATATAAAATTTCCAAGTGATTATCTGGTTGTATCTTTAATGTATTATTAGTGAACGTTAAATAATTATTGAAAGGTTTTTTCTGATTAGATTTGAGATCGGTAATCGTGATCGAATTTAAAATGAGTTAGGCAATGTATTTCTGTTTTGATTTATGTTCTGGGGTCGATAAATTGAAATTTTAATCTCGAAGAATGAATATTCAAATTGATTCGACTGCATCTGTCATAAAATGAGCGCAAGAATGGAATGTACCTATTCTAAATCGTCATGATTGAATATAAATCATAGTATTCTCGTCTACCCTTTAAAGGAAACAGGATATGCTTGTAATATTTGAAATGACCTTAAAATTTAGCAACAAGAATATCTAAATCAACATCACTAATTGAATGGTCGCTATATTATTGTACTATTGCTTATGAACTTATAAGATTTTTAATGGAAAATTTAGAATTTTTCATTTTGTAGAGGTATATGTGACTTATACCTCTGATTGCTAGAAAATTCTTTGTTTAAATGTCATTTCTCCAAGAGAAAGGATAAACATGGTATAAAATAAAAATTAATATGTAAATTGAAGTAAAACCGAATATTTTAGTGACCAAGGTTAAGAGCATCAACACCCCATTCAAGCCATGGATCAACAAATCTGAAAGCACGATCACGAGACTTTAATTTGTTCATTTGTTCTTCAGAAAGAGTGAAATCAAGTTCGAAGTTACCCTTGATGTTAACTGGATTGTTGGACATTGGGATAACTACGTTGTATGGAGAAAGCTGCTTCAAGAATCTGAGGTTAGTTTGAGCTGTTGTCTTTCCGACTTCCTTAGCGACTTCCTCAAGAACTGGATCCTTGATAAGTGGGACGCCAAATGGACCCTGAAGTGTTGCTCTGCCGAGGCAAGAGAAGAAAGTAAGGTAAATCTTTCTCTCAGCGAGGTAACGGGTCATAACTGGCTGCTGGAGATAAAGGTGGCCTTCGATCTGGTTGCAATATGGCTGGATCTTAACCTTTTCGGAATATCTGATTCTTTCTAACTGTTCAATTGAGAAGTTGGAAACACCAATGTGCTTAGCATATCCTAAGTCAACAAGCTTCTCAAAGGCGTTCCATGTTTCGATGATATCAACGTGTTCGAAGATGATCTTTCCGTTAGCATCTGTTGGAACATAGTTATCATCCTCTCTTTGTTGGAATGCTGCTGGCCAGTGGACAAGCATCAAATCGACATAGTCGAGTTGGAGATCCTTAAGGATCTTCTTTGCTTCATCAATAACAAGTGGTTCACGGTGCTTTGTATTCCAAATCTTTGATGTGATCCAGACCTCTTCACGCTTTACCTTGCCATGGGAGAAGATTTCCTTAAGAGCTTCGCCGATAATTTTTTGGTTCTTGTAAAATGCAGCGCAATCAATGTGTCTGTAGCCACAGTCTTCGATAGCATAACGAAGAGCCTCTTTAAGTTTAGCTGGATCTGTAGCATTGTATGTTCCAAGACCACTGGATGGGATTTACATTACTTGAAAGTGAATTCATCTATTCAATTGAATTTGTGTATTCAAATGGCCAGAACTCAATTAATTTTTTTTATCGTGTGGATATTCTATCCTACCGTAAATGTATAATCATACTTTTTAATTATCTTAAGTTACCGAGATTTGAATAGGCAAAAAATTTTCTATCAACTTCATCTTCTTCTCAAACTAAAAGCCAAAAGGACGAACAAAACCTTTAAATCTGAAAAAATGATTAAACTCTTTTATGTTATTTTGTTTCACATGAAATTTTAGGGGGTATTATTATTGTCGTCTGGCGGTTTTAGACGACAATGCGAATTTTCAAATAATAGGATTTTTAGCCAGATAAAGAGCTACTCCATATATCATGCGTGTTTGCATACTATATACATAGATGGAATTGATGTTCTTCCTTTATTTAGGTACCGAAACATGCTTGAAAAATCTATTTTTTAGACGACAATGATAATTTTGTCACTTTTCCAGACGACAATAATAATTTGTCACCTTTTTAGACGACAATAATAATTTTGTCACTTTTTCCAGACGACAATAAAACATCCTCAAATGTTCTGGGTACCCAATGGATTGAATTTATCGATTAAAATACTTGAGTACAACTAGAGTGCTTCAGACTGGACTAATACACTCTGAAATAATCAAATATTCTTTGTAAATAAAATATATAAAAGAAAAACAAAGAATACTTATATGAATCGGAATTACAAATTGGAATAGTTTGGTTTCATATTAGTATAAAGATAAAATTCACATTAAATTAAAATATAAGAATAAACAAAAATATTGAAGTTATATGATGCAGCATGCAATACTTAACTGATTCACAAATTCTATTTCATATATCAATTGATATTCAAGATAAATGCAGTAATGAACTTCATTTCATAAATGTCATAAAATATCGAATAATGTAAATGATTTTAGTTTCGATTAATATAAATAGGGATGTAGTTATAAGACTTTCGTTTGGGATTGATTATTTTAATAGGATGGGCTTTTTTTCAAAAGTATAAAAAAAATTGAATTGACTCAATTCATAAATTTGCAATTGCTGGAAAAAATTAATATACTTTTATACATGGCACAATGGGCGCTACTTTTTTGGCGCCAGCGGCGCCGCCCGCGCCTCCGGTAGGGTTGTACAAACTGGCACAATTTTGCGGGCCGCCTGCCAGGAGCTGGCACGCGGCCAAAATCAAAAAAGTGGCCAAAAATCGGGCCTCGTGGCGTGGAAAGGATGTCGCCCTTCGGGCTCCACCCTTTCCACGCCACTCGGCCTATGACCACAATTATATAATATGCTCATTATTATTTTTTTTCTTCTTTTCTCTTCTTTTTTTTTCTTTTTCTCTTTTCTTTCTTCTTTTTCCCTTTTCCCTTCCTTTTTTTCTAGTTTTGGAAAGGAAAAAGTAAAAAATTTAATAATTAATTTTATTACTATGAAAATATACTTTTTAGCTTATATTGTAAGCTGTGAGAGTTTTAAGTGATGGAAGATATAAATCAAACTTGAAATTCAACAAATCTTGTTATGATTAAGTTGAATATTGTACTCTAATTAAGAGTTTTCAGTTATGAACTCAGGTATTATATAATAAAAGTATAACTCAAGATAATAAAGAGGTTTTTAAAATGTAGATCTGAAAATCAAACTACCATGTTTGATATGATTAAGTTGAATAATGTTATTTTATTAAATGGTTCAAATCTGTGAAATCGGCAATTACAAATTAAAGGCGTAGTTCAAAAAATTAAAGAGATTTTAAAAATTTAATATCAGAATTAAACTAAAAAAAGGATTTAGTTATTTCAGTAATTATCAGAAAAGGTTAAAAAGATAGGGTAAGTAATGAGACTTGAGTGAGATGTGAGAAATCATATGTAAATAATTAGATATCTGATGAGTAAGGTAGTAATGAGAGTTAAGATCTGGTTAGTAAGGTAGTAATGAGAGTTAAGATCTGGTTAGTAAGGTAGTAATGAGAGTTAAGATCTGGTTAGTAAGGTAGTAATGAGAGTTAAGATCTGATGAGTAAGGTAGTAATGAGAGTTAAGATCTGGTTAGTAAGGTAGTAATGAGAGTTAAGATCTGGTTAGTAAGGTAGTAATGAGAGTTAAGATCTGGTTAGTAAGGTAGTAATGAGAGTTAAGATCTGGTTAGTAAGGTCGGAGAGTTAAGATCTGGTTAGTAAGGTAGTAATGAGAGATCTGCGGGCAGTAATGATACATCTATGAGTACATAACTAAAACCTGAGTTCTATGAGCGAAATCTGAGAGCTAAAAGCCGAGAGATCTAAGGTAAGTAATGAGAGAAGAGAATTTGAAATTTTACAAAATACGTTTACTCATACAAAATAATTCGCATTCTTTTATAACGAATCTCAATGCCAATTAATACATAAAACAGATTTTAGCAATCAATTGCAAGATTTAGAAAGATTTTATTTATAATCTCAGCCAAATTAACAAATATTTTATTGATTTCGTAAAAGATAGCAATAAAACATAAAAATATGACATTCTATTTTTCCAAAAAAAATTCAAAAATCAATTTTTAACATGAAATTTATATTTTTAATTTTTTTTTTTAATTTTGAATTTTTTTTGGAATTTTCAACCATGTCAAAAGTCGGGATCTACAAATGTATTCTCTTTGACATAGGATAAAAACATCCTTTCTTATAATTTCATTGTAAAATAAAATTTTCTTAAATTTATTGAATCCAAACTCAACTTTGCAACATTTTATTATCATAAAAACTAAGAAACATCAGGTAAACTTCAATTTGGAGAGCTTAAAATCATATCTAAATTGAAAAATAAGGGGAAAAAATTGTAAAAAAAAATCTCATTAGATGGGGCAAAAAGTGACTTTTTTAATGTGTTTTTTAAAAAAATCGTGCCAGCTGGCCAAAAAAGGTGTGCCAGCAGGCGTGCCAGTTTGTACAACCCTAGCCTCCGGTGGCTCCCACTGGTGGGGAGGAGACGATAGAAAAAGATATAAATTTTACTAAAAAAATTGAATTTTGGAAATTCTTTTGATTTTTTTGAATGATTTACGAAGAGATTGAACACATTTTGTACTATGAAATATCGTTATTAATAAATTTACTTCTTAAACATCTATTAAAATCGCAATTTTGAATATTTTTATGATTTTTTTTGACCCAATCACTTGCGCCCGCGCCCACTGGGAGGGGCGCTTGTAAAGTATTCAAAAATCAATGTAAACATTTCAATTTTTGCTCCCACCTCCCATTGGAAAGTAGCGTTCAAGTTCAAGTGATGAAAGTGCATAAGAAAGCTCCTTAATCATACCGATAGAAACAGCATTAGGGGCGCCAAATGGCGCTCGGTGATGTTTCCCATAAAAGCTTAATTTCAGGTATCCATAATCATAACCTGTCAGACGCAATAATTCATTAGCACACAATCATCGTTTCTCAATCAAGAAACGAAACGCACGATTGATTATGCTGGCCATTAAATTTTCATATCAAATAATTTACTACTTCAAGAAAAATTAAAGACTATCATCAACCAAAGCTTAAAATTCTCAGTGTTTACAACTCTCATACTTCGAATATGCATATTTCCAAAATAGCATGAAAATTTTTTTCATTTGAGCTCATTTTCTTTTGTTCTATTAACTAATACATGCAGTACAAGCTTGTTATACGTATACTTAATAAGTAAGGTCTTAAGGGAAATAATAAAAAAGAATTTTGCTATTAATTATATTAAACAATATTTATTTGTAATTTCGTGATAATTATATTTCTTATTACAAAGTAAAGGTATTTGATATAATGTTTGCCTTACAAAAATGTTTCCTTTGTCTTGCCACCATAGGTATTCTATTTTGTCACTTTTTGTGCCCGCCGTGCCATGTATATATACTTTTAAAGAACAGATAGGTATTAATAAAATTTCTTACACAGGAAATTTCAAATCTGACTTCTTTAAGTTAAAAATTGATATTTTGGTAAATCATATAAATATCTGCATAATATTCGTATTTTTTGATGTACCCAGATTTGCCTTACTTTTACCACCTCTCTAAAGCTGGGGACACCGCCTATCGTTGGGAGTAGCTATTAAATAGAACCACCAAGGGTATTTTTCGAACTGCTGGTGTAGTGGAAACATCCGACATAATGATTCATTATGCTAAGGTTTTATTCCCATTTAGCCAATTTTTTTCTTTTTTGGATCATGAATTTTTTTTTGGGTCACTATAAGATTTGTTTCATGTTCTAAATCTGCGGCATATGTAATCTATTTTTATTTACCTATTTTTTAAAAATCTATTGGATTGCCAAATTTGAATATATTTAAAATCATAAAAATCCAAAAAAACTATAAATATATGTTTTATGCATAGTGCCGATACTCAAATATCAGATTACTTAGATCCATGAATAATATCCGAATTTTTTTCTTAAAATTAAACTTCAAAACTTCTTCCAATCTTATTCTTCATCAATTGTAAATTTTTAAAACCATTTTTAAAATAATTTTGCGTAAATTTTATTCCCATGTTGTTTTAATCGAAAATTGATACATTTTCAAAAAAATAATATTGACTTATGAAATTCATTTTTAAGGTGAAATAGTATTGTTTTTATTAAAGTATATGAATAATATATAAAAAATTAATGAATAATATAAGCAGATTTTTAGTTTACAAAACAAATATGAGCAATGCAATTTCAAACTTTTGCTGGCAATTTCGATATTGCTCAAGTTTGTAGTATTTGTGATACCTATAACATCGGCTTAATCAAAATTCGATTTTTCTTATGAGTTATTGAGAAAATTTGATTGCAATGAGAAGGATTTCGACGTTTTTGATAAACTAAGAGCTGAGCTTTAGGGGTTCAGTTCATTTATGGCTGTAGTTTGATGCGTAGATCTCTTTTTTATTGTAAATTCTTTCAGCATGGAGATCGAGAATGAATCTTTTGAGAACTTTATGAGTTTTTACACCCGTAAAGAGGTCCTTCGAGGAAAGATAGTCCAGACTACATGAAGATGTGGGTTAACCAAAAAAATCCGATGGTTTCCCCATATTCATGTAGATCTTCGAAAAAATGAGCACCAAAAAAGCCAAAAAAATAGGCTTTTTATTGGATTTGTACACTAGATCAATAATCTATTTAGGATCTGACACTCTTTTTAGCCAGAGATATGAGGTCCTTTCTAGGAAAACGATCTATTCATCCATAAAAAAAACGAATTATCGTTTTCCCCAGAAATTACATGGGGAGTGGTAAAAGTAAGGAAAATCTGGGTAAATTTTTTGAGAAATTCAAACTAATAACAAGGAATTTATTCAAACAAACAAATACATAGAAATTAAAGGCAATTATTGCCATTATACGATAAATCTTAATCTTGGACCGGCGAATTTAATCGTTGGTTAGCTCTCATTTTACGAATCGCTGAGCGTGTTAAAGAATTTTCTGGGAATGAAAGGTCGCTTTGATTCATTAATATTTTACCTATGCACTGCTGAATTTCGGAAACCCATGCATCTCGTTCGTCCTCTGTATCAGGGAATATTCTGTAAATTCGATCATTATTCCTAGCTTTCAAAGTAAAGCAAGGCTGTTTCTTGTAATTGATATCGCTTTGAACTTCAGATTCAGGGGTAAATTGAATTTTACCTTTTTCCTTTCCGTCGTCTTTTGTATAGTATGTTAAAGCGTCTGCTTGGAGGACAAACCATCTCTTTTTAATTGTCTTAATTCGTCCTCCTTCTTTTTGGCACCAACCAGCTTTGCAAATAGACATCCTCAAAAATGACTCATATCAGAAAAAGTTTTATAAAACTTTTAAATTTAAAAAAAAATTTTAGATGATTTTAGTTCCATTAAAGAAATTATATAAGATTGCAAAAGTGAGTAAGCTTTGAATATAAATCAATTATAAACAATTATAATAAGAATATCCATACGAGATGATTTTTTCCGATTAACCACCCCAACGATTTTTATAAATTACTTTTGAGAAGTCAACTTGAAATTTGAAAAGGCGAAATATCAAAAAGAATTTTTTTAATGCTATATGCATTAGTATTTTTGAGTTTACAAAAGGGCGGCTTTTTCGGGCAATTCAATTTTTCTTAACATTATTTAGTTGAGAGGATATTAATATTTTTATTTTTGGATTCAGGATGTGCTCCAACATATAATAACTACAAAATAAATAATCGTTTACCTATTGATCAAAACAATATGTCATATTTTTTTGAACGATTATCAAATCCGCACCTGATTTTTCTGTTGTTATATGCTTTAAGCTAATGTTATTACTTTTTCTTAATTCCATTAAGTTTGAATACTTTCTTCCGATTATATTTTTACACCAATCTAACAAATTAGAATGGGCATACACTTCATACGCCAGTATGAGTGACTTATTAAACTATCCATAGCATATAATTCCTATCTGATGAAATTGACTTTTCCATTTTTACACACTTAAAGATATGAGCTCTCAATTTTCGACCCCCAATATACGTTTATTTTAGTTTCGGCATATTAACATGAAGCACGAGCCAAACCCTTAAAGACGTGTCCTCTAGTTTTGCCAACTCTTTCATATATTGTAACTATTTTCAGGAAAAAACGCAAATTCAAAATTAGAAATTCACATTTAATCGAGTATAGTATTAAATTACTATCTTTCGTACACGGACCAAGCAACAACTCAAGGTGCATGCTCATTACAGACAAAATCCCCTCTAGTGCACTTAAATTGGGTGAGTTAGCACCAAACAAGCCATAAGTTAAAGATCTGAACTTGCTCCAGACAATGTATCACTTTAGTTATGAATGCACCAGAAATCCGTCCCAAACTCATACATTTCTACGCTAATCACGATAATAAATATACTATTTTGTACTTTTTACAATAAATCTCTCTTTGTTACACTACAAAATCAATGTGCATTTCGTTGCACCAGTTTTGAATCTTGTTAAATAATGATTTTTGTTACTTTCATGATACAGTCCCATTTAGTAAACGGATTATTTACAAAATAAAAATAAAAAATATATTTTTTATTTACGATTTTTTATATTTGGATTTTTAAGGCATAATTTAGAAAATATTAATAATTTAATCGATTTGATATTAAGAAAGACATTTAAAATTCATAAAAGATCCAAATAATTTCATATCCAAAGTTATTAATATTTGAAGATTTGAGGAAAGAAAAGGAGAAATATTGCATATGAAATGTTTTCAAAAAATACATCAGAAATTGTAAAAGAATTTTAATAATTAATAAGATTTGGATGGGTTAAAATTTGTGATGAAACCACCCGATGCTAACTCACGCCACACATACACAGAAGCATTCTATCACGCAACCACCCGATGCTAACTCACGCCACACATACACAGAAGCATTCTATCACGCAACCACCCGATGCTAACTCACGCCACACATACACAGAAGCATTCTATCACGCAACCACCCGATGCTAACTCACGCCACACATACACAGAAGCATTCTATCACGCAACCACCCGATGCTAACTCACGCCACACATACACAGAAGCATTCTATCACGCAACCACCCGATGCTAACTCACGCCACACATACACAGAAGCATTCTATCACGCAACCACCCGATGCTAACTCACGCCACACATACACAGAAGCATTCTATCACGCAACCACCCGATGCTAACTCACGCCACACATACACAGAAGCATTCTATCACGCAACCACCCGATGCTAACTCACGCCACACATACACAGAAGCATTCTATCACGCAACCACCCGATGCTAACTCACGCCACACATACACAGAAGCATTCTATCACGCAACCACCCGATGCTAACTCACGCCACACATACACAGAAGCATTCTATCACGCAACCACCCGATGCTAACTCACGCCACACATACACAGAAGCATTCTATCACGCAACCACCCGATGCTAACTCACGCCACACATACACAGAAGCATTCTATCACGCAACCACCCGATGCTAACTCACGCCACACATACACAGAAGCATTCTATCACGCAACCACCCGATGCTAACTCACGCCACACATACACAGAAGCATTCTATCACGCAACCACCCGATGCTAACTCACGCCACACATACACAGAAGCATTCTATCACGCAACCACCCGATGCTAACTCACGCCACACATACACAGAAGCATTCTATCACGCAACCACCCGATGCTAACTCACGCCACACATACACAGAAGCATTCTATCACGCAACCACCCGATGCTAACTCACGCCACACATACACAGAAGCATTCTATCACGCAACCACCCGATGCTAACTCACGCCACACATACACAGAAGCATTCTATCACGCAACCACCCGATGCTAACTCACGCCACACATACACAGAAGCATTCTATCACGCAACCACCCGATGCTAACTCACGCCACACATACACAGAAGCATTCTATCACGCAACCACCCGATGCTAACTCACGCCACACATACACAGAAGCATTCTATCACGCAACCACCCGATGCTAACTCACGCCACACATACACAGAAGCATTCTATCACGCAACCACCCGATGCTAACTCACGCCACACATACACAGAAGCATTCTATCACGCAACCACCCGATGCTAACTCACGCCACACATACACAGAAGCATTCTATCACGCAACCACCCGATGCTAACTCACGCCACACATACACAGAAGCATTCTATCACGCAACCACCCGATGCTAACTCACGCCACACATACACAGAAGCATTCTATCACGCAACCACCCGATGCTAACTCACGCCACACATACACAGAAGCATTCTATCACGCAACCACCCGATGCTAACTCACGCCACACATACACAGAAGCATTCTATCACGCAACCACCCGATGCTAACTCACGCCACACATACACAGAAGCATTCTATCACGCAACCACCCGATGCTAACTCACGCCACACATACACAGAAGCATTCTATCACGCAACCACCCGATGCTAACTCACGCCACACATACACAGAAGCATTCTATCACGCAACCACCCGATGCTAACTCACGCCACACATACACAGAAGCATTCTATCACGCAACCACCCGATGCTAACTCACGCCACACATACACAGAAGCATTCTATCACGCAACCACCCGATGCTAACTCACGCCCACACATACACAGAAGCATTCTATCACGCAACCACCCGATGCTAACTCACGCCACACATACACAGAAGCATTCTATCACGCAACCACCCGATGCTAACTCACGCCACACATACAGAAGCATTCTATCACGCAACCACCCGATGCTAACTCACGCCACACATACACAGAAGCATTCTATCACGCAACCACCCGATGCTAACTCACGCCACACATACACAGAAGCATTCTATCACGCAACCACCCGATGCTAACTCACGCCACACATACACAGAAGCATTCTATCACGCAACCACCCGATGCTAACTCACGCCACACATACACAGAAGCATTCTATCACGCAACCACCCGATGCTAACTCACGCCACACATACACAGAAGCATTCTATCACGCAACCACCCGATGCTAACTCACGCCACACATACACAGAAGCATTCTATCACGCAACCACCCGATGCTAACTCACGCCACACATACACAGAAGCATTCTATCACGCAACCACCCGATGCTAACTCACGCCACACATACACAGAAGCATTCTATCACGCAACCACCCGATGCTAACTCACGCCACACATACACAGAAGCATTCTATCACGCAACCACCCGATGCTAACTCACGCCACACATACACAGAAGCATTCTATCACGCAACCACCCGATGCTAACTCACGCCACACATACACAGAAGCATTCTATCACGCAACCACCCGATGCTAACTCACGCCACACATACACAGAAGCATTCTATCACGCAACCACCCGATGCTAACTCACGCCACACATACACAGAAGCATTCTATCACGCAACCACCCGATGCTAACTCACGCCACACATACACAGAAGCATTCTATCACGCAACCACCCGATGCTAACTCACGCCACACATACACAGAAGCATTCTATCACGCAACCACCCGATGCTAACTCACGCCACACATACACAGAAGCATTCTATCACGCAACCACCCGATGCTAACTCACGCCACACATAGACAGAAGCATTCTATCACGCAACCACCCGATGCTAACTCACGCCACACATACACAGAAGCATTCTATCACGCAACCACCCGATGCTAACTCACGCCACACATACACAGAAGCATTCTATCACGCAACCACCCGATGCTAACTCACGCCACACATACACAGAAGCATTCTATCACGCAACCACCCGATGCTAACTCACGCCACACATACACAGAAGCATTCTATCACGCAACCACCCGATGCTAACTCACGCCACACATACACAGAAGCATTCTATCACGCAACCACCCGATGCTAACTCACGCCACACATACACAGAAGCATTCTATCACGCAACCACCCGATGCTAACTCACGCCACACATACACAGAAGCATTCTATCACGCAACCACCCGATGCTAACTCACGCCACACATACACAGAAGCATTCTATCACGCAACCACCCGATGCTAACTCACGCCACACATACACAGAAGCATTCTATCACGCAACCACCCGATGCTAACTCACGCCACACATACACAGAAGCATTCTATCACGCAACCACCCGATGCTAACTCACGCCACACATACACAGAAGCATTCTATCACGCAACCACCCGATGCTAACTCACGCCACACATACACAGAAGCATTCTATCACGCAACCACCCGATGCTAACTCACGCCACACATACACAGAAGCATTCTATCACGCAACCACCCGATGCTAACTCACGCCACACATACACAGAAGCATTCTATCACGCAACCACCCGATGCTAACTCACGCCACACATAGACAGAAGCATTCTATCACGCAACCACCCGATGCTAACTCACGCCACACATACACAGAAGCATTCTATCACGCAACCACCCGATGCTAACTCACGCCACACATACACAAAAGCATTCTATCACGCAACCACCCGATGCTATAGTGATGCGAAAAATTCCCAAACATATGGGGTTTCTCATATCCCGTCCCCTATCGTTTCCCCAATTCAATTTTTTTTGGAATTTTATTTTTTTTCCCGCCCATTTGAATTAAAAATGGGCGATTTTCGTTAATGTGATTGAAATATCATAAAATTAATACGTATTTTAGCTAATAATTCTATTTTTATACAATATTCTCTCATTAAATCAACATTTTTTTCTAATTTTAATTTTTAATTTCTTCATAATTTTAGCGATTTATGCTCATTATTAGCAAATAAATAATATATATAATATACTTATTTCATTTTATTCAGATAGGTCTTTGGGATTGGGATACCTTGTCCAAATTCAGAGGAAGTTTGAGAGGTTGGATGGGGTAGCCCATATTCATTATCCCAAGTGTACTCCACGAATTTAAAATTATATTATATTATTGATGACATATCTAAATTTATAGATAAAAATTTCAATGCGTACACAATTTTTTTGAGAAAATTCTTTTTTTTTACTTATTTTCATTCATAAAAGCTCACGTGAACTTAATTAACAACTGAGACATTTCCTATGAAATCATTTAATGCCGTCAAAATAGACATGTCTAAGCTGTTTTGAGTGACTTTCGCTCGATGTCTGATGCAATATCAGACATCGAGCGAAAGTCTCTCATATTGGCAACACATCCATACGATCAATACTATAGCTACGAATTACAAGCCTGTTTGGGCAATTTTTGGCCGAGTTCTGATTTTTCATTAGATCTCGAGCGAAAGTCTCTCAAATTGGCTGCCAGTTCATAAGAGTGAAACTCTAGCTACGAATTAGAAGCTTGCTTGAGAGACTCTCGCTCGCGTTGGGATCTGCATCAGAACTCGAACGAAAGCCTCTCAAAGTGGTAAGACCTGCTCATTGTTGAGCAGGAGCTGCGTAATGTGTTCGAGTAGAGTGAGGCTCTTCTAAGATCTTCCTTGTGATTGGAAAAATTAGAAGAGTCTCACTCTACTATTTTGTAATTGTATGCCCTGGCCTTTGAGTGACCAGGGCTGCGTAATGTGTTCGAGTAGAGTGAGGCTCTTCTAAGATCTTCCTTGTGATTGGAAGAAATTAGAAGAGTCTCACTCTACTATTTTGTAATTGTATGCCCTGGCCTTTGAGTGACCAGGGCTGCGTAATGAATTCGAGTAGGATTGTACAATAGCTCGGCAAACGCCGAGCAAATTGATATAAACGTACATCCCACAAAAAATGGATTGTCAAAATTTATCCCAAATTTTACAAAACCGCAGCGGTTATGACATCCCAGGGCTAAAAAAATTCGGAAACTCGCATCTCTACGATGCTAACTCACGCCACACATACACAGAAGCATTCTATCACGCAACCACCCGATGCTAACTCACGCCACACATACACAGAAGCATTCTATCACGCAACCACCCGATGCTAACTCACGCCACACATACACAGAAGCATTCTATCACGCAACCGATGCTAACTCACGCCACACATACACAGAAGCATTCTATCACGCAACCACCCGATGCTAACTCACGCCACACATACACAGAAGCATTCTATCACGCAACCACCCGATGCTAACTCACGCCACACATACACAGAAGCATTCTATCACGCAACCACCCAATTTGACATTAATATTCATAAATATATTTATCAAACTTATATGCACCCAACGAATTTTCAAATTCTTATCAACCACTTCTTTATTTTTATATTTTACAATTCTCTTATATACAAATTTAATACAAAGTTTTTATTCACTCATCATCTCTACTTCTTTATTATCTTCAATCTCATTCTAGCAGCTCTCGCATCTTTTACTTCCTTCATTAATTCAGGCAAGTATTTTTCCAACCAAATTTCTGGTTTATTTTGTAATGCAGATTCATAATTTTTTGATTGTTTTTCCAGAGAATTGATTAAATCTTTGGCATCTTGGAACGTTTCAAGATTATAAAGCAGTTTTACGACTAAAACTGCTTTATTTTTATCGTCAATATCAATAAATTCTGCGTATTTTGATATTTCGATCGGCGAACTCTTTTCTTTGTGATCCACGAGTTCATCCTGAGCACCTACATTTTTATCGATTGGGAATTCTATGATTTCACCTACGTTTTCTCCTATTTTCATAACATGTATGCCTGCAGAGGGAACATGACTCTTATTCATAAAGAAATCCTTGCAATATTTACAAGGATTCTTATCAGTATTAATATCATTATAGGAGAATCCGCAATGTATGCATTTTTCGTTTAACAAGTCATTCTTCTCGCGTTTTTGCTTATTAATGGGATCAATTGATTCATTAATCCTAATGATAGTATCATTCAGAATGAATTTGATGAAAGTAGAAAAGTTTCTTGCTTTTTTTGCAAGTTCGTTAATGTGTCTATGCTTACCCTCTGCACTATTATTAGTGCTTATAGGTGGAATGCGGTGGTATGCTGCTAAATAGGGATGCGTTAAACACGCCATTTGACCGGGCGTACATTTTTTTTGTTCGCCCAAAAATTTCGCCATTTGAGAAATTCAAAAATTAAAAATAAAATTTTAATCTTGATTTTTTTTTTCGTGATTTTTTTGAAACTTACATAAGCGATGAAATACTTTTTTTAAGTAATCGTTTATTATATATAAATATATCTTAATAAATTTAATTCCTTAAGGTAGAGCGTGTTCAAATTTAAAATCTCATACAATATTTTCTTAATGGCGTATTTTTCTGAGGTCGCCCAAATAAAGGTGAATTCAAAATTGAGAACTCCAAGGCGTATGGCGAGTATTCAAAAAGTACGCCACTTACAAAATATTGAATGTGGATTATCAATTTTTTGGCGTGTTCAATTTCAAATTTTGATATTTATGTTTATTTTATTCAGTATAATGCTAAGAATTAAAATATAATTCATAGAATTTTTTTTTGAAAATATTTTACATTTTTATTAGACCACTCCTAGACTAGTCATCAGGTTATCCTCAGATCATCCTCAGACTACTCCTTATCAGATTACTCATCATCCTCAGACTACTCCTTAGACCCCTCCTCAGATCTTCCTCATAAGACTCCTCCTCAGATCTTCCTCCTGAGACTACTCTTCAGACTACTCCTTAGAGTCCTCCTCATCAGACTAGTCCTGAGACTAGTCCTCAGACTACTCCTGAAACTACTCCTCAGATTATCCTCAAACTACTCCTCAGTCTAATCCTCAGACTCCTCCTCAGATTATCCTCAAACTACTCCTCGGTCTAATCCTCAGACTCCTCCTCAGATTATGCTCAGATTATCCTCAAACTCCTCAGATTATCCTCAGACTACTTCTCAAACTCCTCAGTCTAATCCTCAGACTCCTCCTCAGATTATGCTCAGATTATCCTCAAACTCCTCAAACTACTCCTCGGTCTAATCTTCAGACTTCTCCTCAGATTATCCTCAAACTCCTCAGACTACTCCTCGGTCTAATCCTCAGATTATCCTCAGACTCCTCCTCAGATTATCCTCAAACTCCTCCTCAGATTATCCTCAGACTCCTCCTCAGATTATCCTCAGACTCCTCCTCAGACTACTCCTCAAACTCCTCAGATTATCCTCAAACTCCTCAGATTATCCTCAAACTCCTCAGATTATCCTCAAACTCCTCAGATTATCCTCAAACTACTCCTGATGTATATATGAATGAATTTCGATGTCAAACCGTCAGTCATATTGTTAGTCAAAACGTCAGTTATATTCTCATTCATACACTCACTCAAACCGTCAGTCATATTGTCAGTCAAACTCTCAGTCATATTGTCACTCAAACTGTCAGCCAATTGTCAGCTAAACTCTAAGTCATATTCTAACTAAAGCCGTCACTCATATTGTCAGTCAAAACGTCAGTCATGTTGTCACTCAAACTATCAGTCTTATTCTCACTAAAACCATCAGTCATACACTCTCTTAAACTATGAGTCATATTGTCACCCAAACTCTCAGTTATATTCTAAATAAAACCGTCAGTCATATTGTCGGTCAAACCGTCAGTCATATTGTCGGTCAAACCGTCAGTCTTACTCTCAATAAAAAGCTAATTCATAGTGTCTGTCAAACCACAGTCATATTGTCACTCAAACTGTCAGTAATATTCTAATTAAAGCCGTCAGTCATATTGTCAGTCAAACTGTAAGTCATACACTCACTCAAATCAACAATCATATTGTCACCCAAACTATCAGTCTTATTCTCACTAAAACCGTCAGTCATATTGTCAGTCAAATCGTCAGTCATATTGTCACTCAAACCGTCAGTCATATTGTCAGTCAAACTGTCAGTCATTCACTCACTCAAATCAACAGTCATATTGTCACTCAAACTATCAGTCTTATTCTAACTAAAACCATCAGTCATACACTCTCTTAAACTATGAGTCATATTGTCACCCAAACTCTCAATCATACACTCACTCAAATCAACAGTCATATTGTCAGTCAAACTGTCAGTCATATTGTCACTCAAACTGTCAGTCTTATTCTAACTAAAAAGCTAATTCATAGTGTCTGTCAAACCGAAGTCATATTGTCACTCAAATTGTCAGTCATACACTCACTCAAATCAACAGTCATATTGTCACCCAAACTGTCAGTCTTATTCTCACTAAAACCATCAGTCATACACTCTCTTAAACTATGAGTCATATTGTCACCCAAACTCTCAGTTATATTCTAAATAAAACCGTCAGTCATATTGTCGGTCAAACCGTCAGTCATATTGTCGGTCAAACCGTCAGTCTTACTCTCAATAAAAAGCTAATTCATAGTGTCTGTCAAACCGTCAGTCATATTCTCAGTCATACTGTAGTTCATACTATCACCCAAACTGTTGTTCATACTGTCACTCAAACTCTAAGTCATATTGTCAGTCAAACTGTGAGTCATATTCTCTCTCAAACCTTGAGTTATACTGACAACCAAACCCTCATTCAAAATGTCACTCAAACTGTCAGTTATATTCCTAGACACATTCAAACTTTCAGGCATATTGTCAGCCAGATACTCAGTTATAGAGTCACTTTTTTGTCATTAATGAATTCAGTTATAGATTCAAACATACATTCGGTCCAATATTGGATCATGCAGTTAATTCTACATTTTTTTAACTTGTAAGTCATTATTTATGAAAATATTTAAAATAGTGTAATTGCACAATGATGTGCAGTATTATCTTTAATATTAATATTGTAATATGATATTAGATTTTATCATATGAGATATTAATATTGATTTATGGATCACTGCACAATGATGTGCAGTATTATCTTTAATATTAATATTGTAATATGCAATGTTATATTCTAATTTGAATGTTCCTTTTTAACCTCATGATTTCTTCTCACTGATCTGCCTTTTTATGCAGCATTTTGTATTTAATCTCTCTTATCCTTTAGATTCTCTATGCTTTCCATCTTTCTAAACCAGATTCCATTGTTAATTCTTAAATTAACACAAATCTTAAATTTCATATTAGTCATTGATCTGAAGTTATTGAAACATCTGACGTCTTTAGATTATCTTATCTAATATTAAAATGATTGATCTATTTACATTTTTAAAATAGTCCTAAAAAGTCTCAATATTTATAAAAGCATAATAAAATTAAATTTTTTAATATCATTTTGTAAATTATTCGTTTACTTTATGGCATAGTCTTGAAAAAGTATCAAAAAACATTATCTTAATGGTCTCTAAAGAGGTTAAGTAGCATACACACAGATATGCTAATGTGGTAAAAAGAGATTTATTGCAAAAAGTCCAAAATAGTATATTTATTATCAAGATTCGCGTGGAAACGTACGAGTTTGGGACGAATAACTAACATTCTTAAACATTTAGTAATACTCTGATAAGTACAAGTCCTTAGATGCGACATATGGCTTCTTTTGTTCTAACTTACCAAATTCAAGAACTCAAGTTGGCAGTAACTCTGTACTAAACATACTCTAAGAGCTTGTCATTATTCCGTGTATGACAAATCATACTTTAATGTTTTACTCGTTGAATAAAGAATGCTTGATTTTGAAATCGAATGTTTTTGCTTAAATAGTTCCAGATTTTTGAACTAGGGACGGAATTAGAGGACACGTCTTTGCTGGTTAGTCGCGTGCTTGATGACAATATGCTACAATTATAATAAACGTACAAAAGGGACGAAAATTGAGAGCTTGTAACTTTCAACCCATTTTTACATCTTTGACATTTTTGCTCTCCTTGAACTCCAAATCGCAAAAATCATACTAGAAATTGGCGTGTATTTATTTTTATTGAAGCATCAATCATTCGGAAAAATGCTATTAACAAATTTCATTCTTCAAAGTGCCCTTATTATAAGGGTCTACTCTTATTATACGAATTTCCTTTTAAATTTCATGAAAATCTTTCCAAACCTCAGTAATATGCAGCATTTATCAAGAAAGCTTATGAATTCAAGTAGAAATTGATGTTAATAAAAGTGACAAACGAAAATCAAATGAATACTTTAGTAAAAGGATATGGAGAAGTAACGGCAATTGATTGCGGCAGATTTTCGACTGTATATAAAGCACAAGAATTATCTACAAAGATTACTTTTGCGATTAAATCAATAAGTTTAACTTCCAGATCTAACGATACAATAGCTCCATATAGAGAAATACAAGCATTAAGTGTTTGTGAACATCAGAATATAGTTAAATTGCATGAAGTAGTTCAATCAGCTTCAGCAATAAATCTCGTTATGGAATACATTCCTTACAATTTATCGAAAGTTTTATCATCAAATATAGTATCAGAAAGTTTGGCAAAAGGGTTTATTTTGCAGCTATTTCGAGGCCTCGCACATATGCATTCGCTTGGAATGATTCATCGCGATATAAAACCACAAAATTTACTGGTTACAAAGCAAGGAGTACTCAAAATATGCGATCTTGGATTATGCAGATTACTCACTGATCATTCCAATCAACAAGGTTATGATGATTCCCATGCCTGGACACTTCAAGTTGGTACACACTATTATAGATCTCCTGAACTACTTTATGGAGATCGAAATTACGGGTATCCAATTGATATTTGGGCTGCAGGTTGTGTTATGGCAGAAATTTTAACAGGTTCTCCTCTTTTCCCAGGAACTGGTGATGTAGAACTCCTTGCAATGATAAGTGATCTACTTGGTGATGCTTCAGAGAAAAATTGGCCAGGAATTTCTCAATTATCTGATTTTGGAAAAATTTGTTTCAAAGAAAAGCCTGCCAAGGATTTCCATGAGATTTTCCAGTCACTAAGTGAAGAAGCCATTGATCTCCTCCAAAAAATCATTGTTTATGATCCAGCAAAGCGAATTTCGGCTGCTGAAGCATTAAAGCATCCTTGGTTTAGGACGGAACCAGCTCCAATCATTGCGCCATTTGATGGTCAATCATTTGATATTTTACAGCATTCTTATATATGATATTTATTGTTTTTTGTTTGTAATAATAAAATATGATTAATTAGGTAACTGTTTTCATCGATTTTTATCTTTATATTGAAAAATCACAAAATTTAAGGCTCCACGTTCATAAATTGAGAGGGTCGTAATCCTCCTTTTTTTAATGGCCCATAACTCCACGAATACCCAAAGACAAGGGGTCGGAGTATGACCAAATGAAACTGTAGCTTCAACAGCATAAAAAGGGGTTTTTCGTCCAAAACCTTGGTAATTTACCTCCAAGATCTATTAAATTTCGAAAAATCGAAAGTTGCTCTTATTTGTTTTATTTACCCATAAGCTCTTACGCTGCATCATTGTTTTTCGTAATTTGCAATATTTATTTCATTCTCGATAAATATCTTCAACAAATCACATATGCACATTAGGATATATTTTATTACATATAAAGAGTAAAATTCTGAAACTATACAGAATTCTTTTGAATATTTTTTGCATATTTTAAATCATCTATAATAATATGAGTTTGTTTCATTTTATTCTATACCAATCAATTCAAAAGATTAGACGAATTGATTGCTCTATTATAATTTATTATAGCTTGTAGTTTTTGACTTAATTATAACAAATATCATAGGTAATTTCATTAATATCTTCTGCTCGATCATATTTTTATATTGTATATACAGGATAATGTTGAAATCCTACGTTTGAGGTCAAGATTGAGAGTTATTGATATTATACTCTTTTGAAACTAAACTTTTTGAAACAATAATCAAAAATTATTTACTTTTATTTGATTCTATAGCAATCATCATTAGTTAATAATTATTGACCGGCCCGTCTACCAAAGCTAACTCAATAAATTTAGTGTATTTCAATTTTCACTACTACAAATACTGTCTTAAGAACTATTTAAACTTTCCCATGCTTTTACCCAGTATAATGTAAAAATATATCCTTTTATACGAATTATAAAATTTGAAATATCGAATTTGATAAATTCATACCTACATTATGAAATATTTAATAATTCACTATACAAATACATCTTTGGAGTTTCATAAATTTTAAATTAGAATGATTGTAACATACAATGAATTCGAATTTTTATGTAGAATCTTGGAGAATGATTTAGTATTCATTGTAGTATAACTAATAGCAGAAGAAAATCATATATATTGGATAATGTATCATATGAGAGTCTATATCAGAGAATTAAAAAATTGAAAGTTTTAGTAATTCAAATAAAAATAGTTTACTAATATTTTGTGTATAATGACTATCTGAAAAAGCAAAAAATAAGATATATTTTTTTGAAATTATTTCGATTTCGAAAAAAAGTTTAGTGTTCGGCAAATGAACTTCAAAACTGTAATAAACAGAAATTCATCAAAAGTGACAGCTCTCAATTTTTTGACATTTGTAAATTCTAAATTGAATGAGAAAAATGAAATAATACTAAGCATAATACAATATTCTAGATTTAATTATAATTAGGAAAAAGTTAGTTTTGAGAGTACTTTTCATAGGCATATAGAATGAAATCTTCTGAAAAATAATATCACATAAACTCATATTATTTTCTAATATATAACTATTTTATATAAAAATCAAATTCAATGATCTTAAAAGCGAAGGATAAACCTCAAAATTTACGAATATAATGAGTGGGAATATAATGCTTATCTATCATAAAACCATATGAAATATCAATTTTTGCTTTACGCCTAATTTTTGACGACAATTAGCAAAAAATGTTAAATGTTAACACTCAGTCCATTTGAATATGAAAAATAAAATTGACTTTGATTAAATGTTTTTATTTATCATGCAATTCTTCTTGCGACCAAAGATTTGAATAAAAGTTCAAAAAAAAAGATAGCTTAAAAAATAATATACGGTAGTGTTTACTACCCAGATTTGCTTTACTTTTACCACTCCCCATGTAATTTCTGGGGAAAACGATAATTCATTTTTTTTATGGATGAATAGATCGTTTTCCTAGAAAGGACCTCATATCTCTGGCTAAAAAGAGTGTCAGATCCTAAATAGATTATTGATCTAGTGTACAAATCCAATAAAAAGCCTATTTTTTTGGCTTTTTTGGTGCTCATTTTTTCGAAGATCTACATGAATATGGGGAAACCATCGGATTTTTTTGGTTAACCCACATCTTCATGTAGTCTGGACTATCTTTCCTCGAAGGACCTCTTTACGGGTGTAAAAACTCATAAAGTTCTCAAAAGATTCATTCTCGATCTCCATGCTGAAAGAATTTACAATAAAAAAGAGATCTACGCATCAAACTACAGCCATAAATGAACTGAACCCCTAAAGCTCAGCTCTTAGTTTATCAAAAACGTCGAAATCCTTCTCATTGCAATCAAATTTTCTCAATAACTCATAAGAAAAATCGAATTTTGATTAAGCCGATGTTATAGGTATCACAAATACTACAAACTTGAGCAATATCGAAATTGCCAGCAAAAGTTTGAAATTGCATTGCTCATATTTGTTTTGTAAACTAAAAATCTGCTTATATTATTCATTAATTTTTTATATATTATTCATATACTTTAATAAAAACAATACTATTTCACCTTAAAAATGAATTTCATAAGTCAATATTATTTTTTTGAAAATGTATCAATTTTCGATTAAAACAACATGAGAATAAAATTTACGCAAAATTATTTTAAAAAATGGTTTTAAAAATTTACAATTGATTAAGAATAAGATTGGAAGAAGTTTTGAAGTTTAATTTTAAAAAAAAAAATTCGGATATTATTCATGGATCTAAGTAATCTGATATTTGAGTATCGGCACTATGCATAAAACATATATTTATAGTTTTTTTGGATTTTTATGATTTTAAATATATTCAAATTTGGCAATCCAATAGATTTTTAAAAATAGGTAAATAAAAATAGATTACATATGCAGCAGATTTAGAACATGAAACAAATCTTATAGTGACCCAAAAAAAAATTCATGATCCAAAAAAGAAAAAAATTGACTAAATGGGAATCAAACCTTGGCATAATGCATCATTATGTCAGATGTTTCCACTACACCGGCAGTTCGAAAAATACCCTTGGTGGTTCTATTTAATAGCTACTCCCAACGATAGGCGGTGTCCCCAGCTTTAGAGAGGTGGTAAAAGTAAAGCAAATCTGGGTAATAGATGAATAGTATATAAATTCTATTAAAATGGATTTGATCCAAAAAAATATAAAACCAAAAATAATTGTTATAATTTAAATGAAGAAGTAATTTAAAACGATTTTATTTATGATCAAATTTTATATATTTTTTTGGATCAAATCCATTTTAATAGAATTTATATACTATTCATCTATTAGTAAACACTACCGTATATTATTTTTTAAGCTATCTTATTTTTTGAAATTTTATTCAAATCTTTGGTCGCAAGAAGAATTGCATGATAAATAAAAACATTTAATCAAAGTCAATTTTATTTTTCATATTCAAATGGACTGAGTGTTAACATTTAACATTTTTTGCTAATTGTCGTCAAAAATTAGGCGTAAAGCAAAAATTGATATTTCATATGGTTTTATGATAGATAAGCATTATATTCCCACTCATTATATTCGTAAATTTTGAGGTTTATCCTTCGCTTTTAAGATCATTGAATTTGATTTTTATATAAAATAGTTATATATTAGAAAATAATATGAGTTTATGTGATATTATTTTTCAGAAGATTTTGTGTTCTTCTTCAAAATTTTATTTTTTTATTAAAAAGAATCTTTACAAAATATACATTTACTTTAATTAATATTTAAAAACGTGCTCTATCAAAAGTTCCAAAAATTCAATATTTTAGCTTTTCTGAGGTGTCACTTTTGATGAATTTCTGTTTACAACAAAACAAGATTTATTATAGGGAATTCTAACCATTATACTATGCACTTAGGGACTCCAAAATTAATTTTCAAGTATTTGATCGCTACCCCACCCAAGGGCTGTTTTGTTGTGAATGTGAAGAAACAGTGTGAACTACTATTATTTCCTATCCGTTGACTCGCATGATTTATATACAAAAGTTCTTGATTTTCGAATTTATTAGTGTTTTGAGATTATATTGCTTATAGTAATAAAAAATCAGTAAAATACAATCTTCATATATTTTAAAATATTCTCTATTTCATATCAACTCTTGATTGAAGATAATCGAAATCAGGAAATTTTCTAGATTATTCAAATCAAAAACTGAACTCATCATTACAATTTTGATATTATATAAATAATATATTAATATTTATTAATGCCAAATTCCAGTTTTTGTTGGAAATTGGCAATCTACTTTTCAGATTTGGGAAACTTTTGTTTCTCTGGAATCCCTGTCTTATAAGGGATATTTCAATTTTTTATGCGCGTGGATGGGTTTTGAGAAATTGTATCTTTCATAAAAATGAAAAAGAATGTGATAATTAGTTTCTCCTAATATTGCGATTAGTCATGCTGCAATCAGATTTTAAAAATTTTTCTCACCGATGTAAATATGTTAATTTTTTCCAAAATTGATTTTGGACGAAAAAAACCAAGTTTTTTCAAATTAGGTATTTATTCAAATTGAGTGTGACCAATAGATCCCTCTCATCATGCAGATGATGGATCAGGTGTCTGTTCATTCCAAAACCAAACTTATGAGGCTACAAGTGTGCTTTTAGGCAAAATCTTAATTGAATGCCCTGTCAAAATTGAATGCATGAACGTGGAGCCTTAACATGATAAATTTGAATCTAATAGATTTAATTTAAAAACAAGAGAAAAATATAAAGTTAAGTATATAATTAGAAGTGCTGATTAAGGCCAGCGCATGTTAGAATTGCATAAATCAATTCAATAACAAAAGGGAAAATGCATGTAATAGAACACGGTATCCATAGAAGCAGTACATCCCAATAATTGAGAATTGATATTGCAGTTAAGAAAGTTCCGAGGGCATGAAATGCAATGAATAAAAAGTGAAAGCTAATTGAGTGTAATGTTAATCCTGTTAATGTCATTACAGCAGTAAGTGCAAGAAATACACTGCCAGTGATAATCACATCTTTTAATCTGCGATCAACAACGTCATCAGGAAGCTGTGATGTTTGCCTGAATTCAGGAACTGATTGCCATAGAAAAGACCAGGCAAGAGCATGTACTGCGAGTAAAGTGCACCTTGTAGCATAAAATTTTAGGTGAGGAAGCTCTTTTCCCATTTTTTTCGTTTATAAATTCAATTTTGAATTTTTAGCTCAATTTTCTTGTGATAATGCATAGTGTATTGCGTTTACATAATAATTTCTTGTGGAACTTGAGGCAAAATAGATTTTTGAAGTATTTTTACGCATTACAAGTAATTTATGATATAAACCAAAAAAAAAAAAAAAAAAAAAAAGGGAGTGGGGCTTCCAGGCACTTCGTGCCTTCTAGCCCTGAGGATGATTGGTATAATGAAGTTTTTTTTTTCTTGGGGTGGTCTTCCAGGCACTTCGTGCCTTCTAGCCCACATAAATGAAGTTTTTATTCGGAGGTCTTCCAGGAGCTTTTCACAAATTATATATGTTTTCATGTTTTGTCAAGACTTCTTCGTAAATGTTTTGTCAAGACTTCTTCGTAAATGTTTTGTCAAGACTTCTTCGTAATGAGCGTAAATGACCCAAAAATATAATTTAGGTGAAGAGGTGAGATGTCACCTCTTTTCTAACCTCTTTTCTCACCTCTTGAATTTTCATGAAATTTACACCAAAAATAATGTTTATGTTAGAATGTTAGATCTAACACCTTTTCTAACATGTTTTCTAACATCGTGAATTTTCATGAAATTTACACCAAAAATATACTACTAGGGTCATTTACGAAGAAATCTCAACAAAGTCTTTACGATGAAATCTTAACAAAACATAGACAAGAAAGTTCATGAGAAATTAGATGAAGAAGTCTTAACAAAGTCTTTACGAAGAAATTCATGAGTTTTCTACGATGTTAGAAAACATGTTAGAAAAGGTGTTAGATCTAACATTCTAACATAAACATTATTTTTTGGTCATTTACACTCATTTACGAAGAAGTCACAATAAAGTCTTTACGAAGAAGTCACAACAAAACATCTGTCACTTTTCAGGAAAAAACATTTTTATTATATATATATAAAATGAATTTTACAAAACCACCGTTACCCTTCTTTGGAAATAAGAGTAGATGTAAAGATATTCTATTGAGAGAACTTAAGAAACTACCGAATGGTCTAACATTTGTAGATTTGTTCGGTGGAAGTTTCTATATATCTCATTTGTGCCATACTGTATTTCCTGACTCAAAGATTATATGCAATGACTTCGACAACTATATGAACCGTCTCAAACATATACCAGACACAAATAAAATATTGAGTGAGTTGAAAGAAAAGATACCTATAGGTAAGATGGAACGTATACCATTAGATAAGAAAAATACTGTCAGAGAGGTTTTGAAAAAAGCAGAATATATAGACTGGGATAGTATATCTTCTAGACTATTGTATAGTGGTTCTATAAGAGTTCATGACATTGAAACACTTATGTCAAACGTTTTATATCTTAACTATACAAATGTTTTCAAAGAGGACATAGAAAAATATATTGAGGGTATAGAGTTTGTGAGATGTCATTGGACAGAGTTGTATGAAAAATATAAAGACAAGGAAAATGTTTTCTTTATAGTAGACCCGCCGTTCTTTAACACATACGATTTTCAATACCAAGTAGACTGGACTTTGAGAGACTCTTTAGAAACTTTAGACGTTTTACATAACCATCCATGCTTTTACTTTACATCCGATAAAAGTGGTTTGGAAAGTGTCATGAGATGGTTAGAGGACATACATGACTATGAGTTTAGATATGACAAGATAGAATATGAGAGAGGTCCTATAAACTGGAGAAAGTGTCATAACAAAGAAATTTTATTAGTAAGTAAATGTGGTTTGAAATAGGACTACTTGTTTTAGGTTTTTTCCATTGTGTCATTTACTTATTTGACGTGGCAGAAAGATATAGAGAATATGAAGATGAACCAATGCCTGCAAATGTCCAGTATATGTACTCGTAAGAGATATTTTTATCTAATATTAAATGGACGCACAGAACTTAGCGAATGCACAGCAACCTGGACAACCAAACCCAGAGAATATTCCAAATGAAGTTAGAATACAAACTGCAATGGCAAACTATGGTCAAGTGCCAACAGATGTACAAATGCAAACTGCCATGTCAAATGACGCTGCGTTAGGTTTGCCACCATGGTATGCAAATATGAGATGGAAAGAGTTTTATACAAACCCGAAGTGGGATATAAACAACTTTATGCAGATGACGCGAACACAGGAGTTGACCCAGAATATGTTTTCTACCAGAGGAGAAACAGAATGTATGAGCTCCAGTTAAAGAATGCTATGGAACTCAACAGGAAACGTAAGAGACTAGGTGGACATTAGATTTTTACATATAGTAAAATGGGTTTCTTTGGAAGAATAGGAAACTTCTTTCGAAATGTTGGAAGAGGTATATGGAATGGAATAAAAACCGTAGGAAGAGGAATTTGGAACGGAGTCAAAAATATTGGTAAAAGAGTAGGTCAGTTCGTTGGTATTATACCTAAAGACCCTGAACCAGAAGAACAAGCTCCTGTTATACAACAGCCTGAACCTGCACCACAGTCTAGTTGGCAACCAAATCCAACACCTCAACCGTATTAAAATTATATTTTTACCGTTCGATAGTAGTTGTATATGAGACTAAGTTCTAAGTAAAACGCATGGTATAATGGAACTATTCTCTTTCTTCCATCTGTTGTAAACCATACTTGAAAGTCTGAAATACTTCCACTCGGTGGTTCATATAGCTTTGTAGGTTTTTCGTAAAAGTCATTTGCCAAGCATAAAAAAGAGTTTTGTGCACCAGAAAATGAAGCATGAACTATAATAGCATCTGAGTCGAAAACATTTTCATATGTTCCATTAGGGTTTTCGACTTCATAAAAGTTCGGGTGTACTGGATATTCTGCAGGCTGATTTAACATCCTCAAAAATCTATACCATGCCAAGTTGTTATATTTTGTAGAAATATAAACGTCTTCTCCAAGGTCTTCTATTCTATTGATTTTAACAGTTGCATTTTTCCTGTCATATATAATATCGAGATGGTACTCTCCTTCGTCAATGTTGTACTGTTTTGCATATTCGAGATAGATATCGTTTATTTTTTCTTGAAAAGCTTGAAGAGTTGTTTCTAAGTTTACAAGCAAATTCACTTGTAAAAGTTTTCCCTGTTCAAATTTCTCATACGTACGTTTTTCTTTGTTATAGTATCGAATTTCAAAAGCGACCGTAAATGGGAAACCATGTATGGCTTCTGAAATGAACTTCATTCTACGAAAGCCAATAGCTTTTGTGACAGATGGGTCTCTTAACCATCTTAGTGGGTAGTCAAAACGATAGCCTTCATGCTTTACGGTCTCTGTCTCAAACTTTTGACCTACGTTAGTAAAAAGTTCATCTAATGGTTTAGTTGTAGCAACTCTTGAATTTTCTTTTTCTATTGAAAGCATATTTTATCTAGAATAAAAATGTCGAAAGAAACAGCGTCTATGAGAGAAATACAACACAACCGACAACTCATTGTACAAGCTCTAAATAAGAACACAACAAACTTTTCAAACTATTCTAAGATATCTGAGTCATTGAAAGAAGGAAACTTAAAACTGACGATAAACCCAATGACAGACGAGTTTCTGTTTCAAGACAGTAAGAACCATACTGTTTGTATAAATCCAACAAAAAGAACTTTAAACGAGAAACCTATAGATGAACTTCTTTTGAAGGCAGATATTGACAACAAAGCTGACAAAGAGTATGTAGATGCAACAAGAGACTATATTCTCGCATGGACAGATAGAACATACCCACAAAAACATCATACACATAACATCTATGACGTAGATGAACTTCAAGAAATGTTAGATGACAAAGCGGATAAAACATATGTTGACAATAAAATGTCAAGTGAAGTGACAAGAGCTGACAAAGAATATTCTAAAAAGACTCATACACATACCATTGCAAATATTACAAACTTACAAGAAACCTTAAACAAGAAAAGTGACGTTGGACATACACACGATTTCTTCGCAACTGTTGGTATAGAAAATATTGCAGGAACGGTTGAAGAACCTGATGGAACTGGTGGGGATGTATTAAATTGGAAACCTCCTAACTTTCCACAAGGTTTAACATCGGAGGATGACATAACAACGATGAAATACATTAGATGTAGAAATGTCTATGTCATGGAGGATGAAAACAAAGTTAAATTCACTGCTCAAGATTTATATGATAAGAAAGCTGACAAAACATATGTTAACGATGAGTTAGATAAAAAAGCTGACAAAACAGAGCTTCAAACGTTAAAGACAGAAATACTTCAAACACTATATCCTATAGGTTCTATTTACACGTCAATGAACTCTACCAGACCAGAAGTAGTACTTGGTCTCGGAACTTGGACTCAAATAGTCGACAGGTTTTTGTATTGTGCAAACTCTTCAAAGGAAACAGGTGGAAGTAAAACGATTTCAGGTGAAAACTTACCTGCGCACAGTCACTACATAGATTTAAGTACATCTCAAGCAGGTTGGCATAAGCATAAATTTTGGGATTGGCACGCCTTGAAAAAAGGTAAAGGATATGATGTTAAAGACGACGTTCAGTTTGCTATAAATTGTTACTGGAGTGACACTCAGGGAGATGGAAACCATACACATCGCGTTACAGGATATACACAAACAACGGGACAAAGTAAAGACTACATGCCACCTTACATGACAGTTTACGCATGGTATAGAATTGCTTAGTCGTCATTTTCAACTTCTTTAGCATATTCGTCAGGAGTTGTCTTATATTTGTTAGGAACTGTCTTTGAAAGTATACCACCTTGAACTTTGACAAGTTTGAAACGAGGTCTGACAATAGTAGTTTTATCTTCTGCTTGCAGTCTGTACATTTTGCCATGTTTGCCTAAAACTTCATAATATTCTCTTGTATACTTTCTTCTATTTTTACGAACACGAATGTGAGTACCTGTCGGGTTCCCATTGTTGTCATAGTCAATAGTATTTTCATATGGGTCGCGTTTAGGTATTTCTATTTTTACTTTGTCGCCTTTCTTAAGTTTGAAGCCTGGCA